AAACCATATCATCATCAACATGAACTTGATAACATTTATTGCCACAAACTTTATACCAGTAACATTTATATCTAGTTGAACAAGTAAATAAGTATAAATAAATGTGTACCTTAACCGAAAAAGTGAATAAATAAAAAAACAGATCAATAGCTAGCCAAAAAATAAAATTTATGAATTTCTCAAACAATAACAATGAATTGATCAATACAGATAATAACACTTAACTTTTATAATATCAGGCTAATCTCAAAAGTTATACTTCAAATATACATAAGCTTTTTTTTTCCAATTCTCATATACATAGCCTCAAGTATTGCTCAAGTGGGCAACTGAAAGCGGCACAGTGGACAGAAGTTACTAACTCCGAGCCATCGAACAATGCAGTCTGTATGAAAATCATGGAAGCAAGGCATCCGGGTTGCCTCCGAACCAACCAAAAGCTGTTCCAAGCATATCACACACATCATCCTAGTACACGAAATTTCGACTTTCACCGTCTCTAAGGCCTCAACTGATGCCTCACTGGCCGGCACTCGCCTCAACTCCATTGGCACCATTGTATCTGCACCTTCTTCTTCTTCTTCGTCTTCTGCGCGGCCCACTACATCTATAGACACTATCATGGGTAGTACCGGTACGTTTTTCCCGAGATTTTGTTTCACCATTAATTGGGCAGATTGAATGATACCAGGAATCAAGAAAGGCTGAACATGTAGGGGGACACCAATGTTACAGAGCATATCTGATACTGTGGACCAATTGTTGTTGTGACATGTCAATCCGTCGCATGGAACCCAAAATTGCATGGACCGTGTGTCGTACTCGTAGCGATCATCATCGTCCGAATCATAATCATCATCGCCCGAATCAACATCATCATCATCATCGGATGGAGGATACGTGAACCCTACGCGGAAGTCGATGTAGAATTGGTTGTAAGGTTTTGGGTCGGCGATGGGAATGATTGAAAAATTCCCTTGCCATGCACTACACGAATGATCTAACGGTGTATTGCAATCCATTCGGAGAGAGAACGATCAAAGATCACGACCGGAGATGAGAACGATCAAAGATCACGACCTGAGAGAGAGAAAAAAATGCAATAACAATAGAGAAATGATGGTGACCATTGCTTCAGTTGATGGTACGTTGATTGTGTTCTTGTTTCTTGTTTCTTAATCTGGTACCTCTGTTATGATTCTAATGCTTTTGAGGGGTTGGGGTTGGCTTTTGTTTTGGTTCCTCGTGGGCTGTTGCTTTGGGCCGAAAATTAGAGAGAGAAAGAGGATGGGTAGAGAGAGAGACGTCTCGGGCGAACTACCTAGGGTTTTAAAACTGTGCGAGTTAGAATAGGATTGGCTACAAATAATAATAATAATAATTTGTCATATATCTAGTTATATACAAAACAAAATGAAATCTTGATGTATTCATTATTAAAATTGTGTCCGGCTCTCTTATTAAAATTCATTAAATATTGCAATTGCAATTGCACCTTATATATAGACGATATTCGCGCACTCTACTTTGATCCTTGAATTCATTAATGCACTATCCTGAATATATAATATCATAACTATCCTTTATATAATTTTCATTTTTTTTACTTTCTTTACTATTTCTTTTCCTTTCTATTTGTTTTTTTATACTAATAATTTATTCTATACTAATAAAAATTTTGACAGTCAAAAGAAATAATTTATTTCATAATTATTTTATTTTATTTTATTTATTATTATTTTTTTTTGTGTATAATTGAAAAGGATATTTATTCAACAATGTTGACCTTTTTCTCAGTCAAAATATGTAATTTTTTTTTTTATTATTATAATTTTTTTTGAGTCCTATCAAAAGAAATAATTTATTAGATAAAAATAACCTTATTTTATTTTATATATATATATATATTTTTCTTTTGTATCTTATCAAAAGAGATAATTTATTCAATATAGATAAAAAAAAAAAAAAATTATTTTCATACTTTTTTTTTTATTTTGGGGGGGAGGGGGGAATCTTGACAAAGAAGATAATTTCTTCAATAAATATTTGTTTATTGGTTTTTTTTTTTTTTTTTTTTCATGTCAAAAGATATAATTTTTTTAATGGTTACTTTATAGTTTTTTAGTTCGGTCAAAAGAGTCAATTTATTCAACATAAATTTTTATTTCTTGGTCCCGTAAAAAAAAAATTATTCAGTTAATTTTTTTTCTTGTCAAAAGAGACCTAAAATAAAAAAGATGGAGATGAAATCTAAAAGGACAATTTTGTTATTTAAAAAGTAAAAATTATTTAATTGTAATGTTAGGGTTAGAATTGTCATTTCATTTAATAATTGTAGTGCAATCGTTGAAAAGTGGAGTGCCGCTATGCCCCCTTATACGAAAGTTATATTTATAAATTATGGAATTCATAAAGTGAAAATTAAATTCATTAAATATTATAATATATATAATTTATGGGGGTGAAGAATTTTTTGCTTAAGTGTCAAAATGTACAATGATCTACTTGTTATCTACCTATAAGCATGTGTAAAAGATATAAAATGAACAAATGGATTTACAAAAACTCTCCTAATCATCACTCTTGCTTTTATCTAATAAGGTGATACTTGGGTCATTTTTTTCCCCATTCTTTACCATTATATGTCTCACTTATTTAAAAGTATATATTCATTTAAATTATACATTCACCATATCACCTTAAATCAAGTGAGCGTCTACTTTACATGATAACCGTGATAAATTTTCCTTTTAATTTTTTACGGGTTTTTTATGAAGCCACTAAATTATACGTCATAAATGAATATATCAAACACAAATGTAAGCGACACAGAAAACCGAGGAAGAGAAATAGACAAGCCAAGGTAATTTATTGTAAAAGTAGAGATATTTGTCTCTCTAACTTTTTCATACTTTTCTCGGAGTTTATATTTGCGTTCACTTTGCTCCTTAATGTTGTTTGTATATATATATATACATATATATATTAGTCCAAGATTTTCTAAACAATATCCAACGGTTTTTGACCTGGTTAGTCTTTACTCGGCACCTAGGGTTATGGTCCTCATTCCTCGAGTATCCAAGAGGTCAAGTCTGACCTTTTTACCATGATCTAGTATGACAGCGGCGGTAGTTGGAGCATTAAGTAGAGTATTAAAAGTGATTGTAAGACTAGACTTATTACTTGCGTCGGTCTTCTCACTTCTAATCCATCGATTCAAAATCCTTTTTAAGTGTCTAATTAGTAAAACTTACCTTTTATCTCATTTAATGTTTGAGAGTTTTGCCTCGAGATTGTAAGGATTGAGACAATTTGTTATAATATTTGAGAAATGTTAAAAAACCCGACTACTGTTCACCCGACAATAACCGACTTTAAGTGTCAATACTGGATTGGGCCAACTGGCGCACAGGTGGTTCCCCTTCGTCTCAGCTTTACTCTTTCAATCCTCTCATCTCCCAGCTCCATCACCCGCCACCCACTACCCAACTCCACCCCAGTTCGTGATGGTTGGTGGTCGGTCGTGGACCATCGCGACGCCGGCGATGACGGTCGTGAGCGACTTGGCGGTGGAATTCCTCGGCCGATCGTTGTCGGTAGCGGCGGAGTCGGGCTGCTGAGTGGGCAGAGGGCGACGCCGTTTTGTGAAAGAGTAGGGGGCATGGCAGGAGAGGTAGGGTTTATCTCTCTTGCGGCTCATCTTTGTTTGGGGAGCAAAGGCAAAGGCTGGTGGCAGCGGCAATTGTGGTGAAGAAACCAGCAGAATTTTTTGATTCTTGTAGACTTTGTAGTTTGCTGGCCGAACTAGAACAGCGGTTGTTGTTGATAACGCCGATCATGCAATTGTAAGGATTTCCAATGGTGTGCACTAGAGGCGTGGATCTCTTCATTTTCTTTTCTATTCGACGAAGGGTTGAAAGCGATTTGGTTATGACTTGGGGTGGAGCTGGGCGGTGGATGATGGAACTGGGCGGTGGATGAGTAGTGTTCATGGTGGTAGGGGAGGTGGCGACGACATGTTTGACGGAGAAGATGGTGGTCGCGGATGTTCGCCGGAAAGATGGGTTCGTTGCCGATTGTTAGAGAGAGAAAGAGAGTAAGGGAGAGAGAAGGGGCATCGGTTCACCAAAAAAAAAAATTAAAAATTTGCCACATTAGACAGTCACGTATGACAGTCCTTGAGTGTCGGGTGCAAAATGATCGGGTCATGTAGCACTGCTCATAATATTTTCCTACAGGGGTGGCGTTCTTGAGATTTTTTATTTTTTATTTTTTTTTTGAACTCGAGGCTGCTATCTTCGAGATGGCATGGGGACTGTAGTGACGTTTTCAAAATACTGGTTACGTAACATATTATTAGGGGTGACTTTTCTTTGACCCAGTTTATTATGAAGTAGTTAAAATTTTATTTTATTTTTGTAAAAAAGTAAAAAGAATCCAACTATCCCTTCCCTTTTCTCTGGTCCGATTTAATAAAAATTAAAAATTAACTATTAGAAATTTTAAAGACTGAATTTTAAATGTAAAATTTTTTAAGTGGTTTCCTTTTTTTCGGTTCGATTTAATAAAATTTAAAAATTAAGTATTGAAAATTTTAAAAATTAAATTTTAAATGTAAATATTTTTAAGTGGTTAGCATCCAATGATTAGTTATGTTTTATTTCTTTATCCAACACATTTAATTAGATAATTAAACTCTAAATTAAATAATTAAACGGGACGAAAAAAACACCGGTTTTTTCTTATTAATTGTTGAATATTTATTCAATACGGAGCTCATGATTATGACATTTTGATAACATTCCTTCTGTCATCAAACAATTCTCTCCGTCTTGTTGGTGAAGACGAAGAAAAAATAAAAGCAATTTTTAATTACTAGAGCAAAAACAATATTATTAACTACCGCTTACTATTGTTTGGATTGAAATTATCCATTCCATCCATTTGTGTATGGCTTGATTTGGTTGGTTTCTGTCTTCAATTTTCTTGTCTACCAAACAAATCACAAATCAAATATATACACGTAAACAACCAATTCTAATAATAGTACAAAACAATCAAAGAAACTTTCTTTAAAAAAAAAAAAAAAAAAAAAAAAGCCCTAAATTTAGTGAACACAATTCAATAAACTAAGAGTAAGAAGAAGATGGGACGCCGGTTGTTCCGGCGGCTTCTTCTTCGTCCCCAAACAAGTCTTCGGTCTTCCTGAAGGCGGCGTGAACCACCACAACCACCACTCCGATCAAAAGCGCAATCAGTATGTTCTCCGTCGCGTGAGTCAGGAACAGAAACACGATCGTCAGAACCGAGAGCACGATGAGCACAACCCGATCGTCAATCGAGCGGCCAAAAACCACGAGCGGCTCGTCGCGGAGGAAGTAGAGGACGAGCCAGGCGGCCATCATGACGAGGAACACGATCATCGAGATCGGGTGCCAGAGGAGGCTGAGGAAGAGGATCAGGAGGACGACGATGGCGTAGTTCACTCGGAAGAAGCCGAAGTTCGTTCTGATCCGTCCAATTGCGTCGCCGAAGCCGGTCGGAAGTTTCAATGATCGGAAGTTGATCATCTCTTTCCATGGCCGTCGCGTGCTGAAGCCAGATCTCACACGTTCCTTTGCGCGGGATAGGTAGTCGAACGAACCTCCCGGCTTCGATGACGTCGGGATTGTGCCGTACGTCGTCATTTCCGGCGAGTCTCCGGTGAAACAATGTCGGTGACTCTCTCTCTCTCTCTCCCCCCCTTTAATATTGGGAAAATGAGAAGAATCCCAAAAATGAATGTAGACGGTGTGTAAATGAGAGAGCGTAGAAGTTAAAGTGGTCCACTGTTCTCGGCTGTTCCACTACATAAAGTTGCCACGTGGTCGGCAAGCACGGGAATGGGATATATTCAATGCTGGGAAATAAAAAAGGTTCTTCAACACGGGAATGGGATGTGAAATAAAAAAGGTTCTCGATACAATATCCAATTTGAAATCTATCTAAATTTGCTTTTTCTATTCTTTCAGGGATATCAGAAACGAATTCCCTATTCCCATAAAGAAAAAAGGAAAAAACGTTATATTTACGAGAAGATTTCACCATGAACCAACCAAAATCAAACCTACTTTTACGATCATGAACATAAGATCCGACTTGATTTCAAGTCAACGCATAAACATAATTCTACATTCCAATTAACATATCCATTAACACATAAATATGAGACAATCGGATTAAATTCTCCATTTCTACCCATTATAGCCTCTTCATGACAATATTTTGCCTTGTGATAAAGCCGTGATAGAATTTGACACTGGGTGACATGGGAGTCGCATGGAGAGCAGAAGACAATTTCAACAACCCTTCTTTGAAAAGACAGAAAGCACCAGCTAGGCCGGTCAGTGTCAAATCGTGGCATTGTGACAGCACTTGCAAATGCATAGTAATATTTTTTTTTTTAGTTTAAAATCCATTCCAAGAGTAGTCGGTCTTGATTGTTCCATCTCATCTTATCATCCTATGAATGAAACAAGAAATTTACAATAAACCCACCTCATTTAAATATGATGTTGTCAACCTTTCAGTTTTCAAGAGACATTCATTCTCTCAAGTCACAATTTGAGAGATAAGGGGGAGGAAAATAAAAGTCACCGCTTGGATTTGTTCATGGACTATTGCTGCATTTTCCCCAAAAGGGCAGGGCAAAAGACTAACAACAAAAATGAAACTGCCATAGCAAAACAGTTCTTTATGTTTAAAGCACAAGGAATTTCATCTTGAAAAGCAAGAAAAATAACCAAACGCATACAACAGGAGACACTGATAGCCATCTCTCCATGGTACAAGGAGGAAAAGCTCACGAACTTCGCTCACAACAGCCCATCCATCCATCATTGACATAAACCCCCCCACACAATAACAAAAGTAGGCAGATTTATTACATGCACACACATATAGTATGCAGTATTCACACTTGAAAATTATATACTAGTCCACTCTTTCCTAATGCAGAGAGAGAAGTGGCATCCATATTTTCGAGGAGCTCAAGCTACCAAAAAAAAGCTCTCAAAAGATGTCATGGCAAGATCTTAGTAATATGCCTCCTCAACAGCCTCAACATTCTCCAAGGGAGAATATGTAGCTTAAACTCTTCCTTAGGCCAAAAATAATCCGACCAGGTTAAATCCATTTCCATTAGCTTCTGCAAAGTCTCGAGCATAAGAGACTACCCCTTAATGACTAGTTTCCTTCTTCACCTATTGTATACCTAATTCATTTTGGAAGCTTCACTGAATCTTACCTCATTCAATTTCTAATAGAAGGGATTCCTGATCTTCTCGATTCACCTTTCAACAGTATCTTTAGACACAAGGGACCAGAACCAGTAACAGTACCAGTACCAGTACCAGTACCAGCTCGCCATCTGCAAAATACATGAAAACAAATATTAGGAGATAAAACTAACAAATTTTGTATCCAAATGTCATAGCTATTCAATGAAAGAAATAAAATAATGTGACAATTGACAATTTCCACCAATGAAAGAAATAAAAAATGTGACAAAAATGTAACCACAGGGACACTCGAGATTTTACACCATAATGTAATAAGAATTTATAAAAAAGATAACAGCAAAAATGCTGCATCCAACTTACCGGAACTAAACATCCTACGGCATCCATTTCAAGTTCAACACAGATGGAATCTTGATTAAACAAAGGGGTTGCATCCCAGGACACCACATTAAGCAAACATTTGACCCCTAGATCATGAAGAAGGTGTTCCCTACACCGTACCTCCATCTCCATCCCAATTGGGTCAAAACGGTATTCCCTTCAGTGTAAATTTTGTTCTTGGCTTCCATTGTTCAATCTCTGGGCCAACCTAAGATAGTGTAAGAGGTAAATGGAAGAACATGATCTCCTCCGACCTAGTACTTGAATTTCTTTAAATTTTTAATGCTACTTTCTTTCCTAGAAAAAATTCCATAACTGAAAAATTATAGAGCTACAATTCAATATGATAAAGCAATGCACGGCAAACTTAATCTCAAGCTAATAGCTGCTCTATCATTTTGCCATCAAAGCATTATTTTCAAGACAGAAGTGAAAGAAGATATCTAACATTCTATCTGCCTTTAAACCTACAATTGCTAGCAAAAGGGAATAAGCCAACCATAATTTGCTATCACTGTCATAACCAGCGAGGAGTTGTAACAAATTTGTTCCAAGGGTATGAAGAGAACATCTACTATGAAGTATGAACTATTACCTTTTCTCGTCCAAATAAGTAATATTTATTGGAAATCGAGCTGTCACATATAACAAATATGGATCTTGATCAACTCCATTCAACATTGACAATTAAACTCATGCCGCAGCCTAGAAAGAAACCATCACATTCTCTTAGGCTTCTCCATGTCTACAATTGCCTATGGCCAAGCAACCATTTAGTGCTATAATACAAAACGGTCAATCCACGAATAAGTAATAATCAACCACTGACTACACTGTCCATAGAACTTCATGCTACCATATTCTGCCGACTCCACCAATTATCATGCTTCTCCACCAAAAACGAGAAGGCCAAATAAAGAAACAACTATATTATAAAAACCAGTGGACTGTTAAACTTAACATCTAAAATTCTTAATAACTGAAATCATCCATCAGCAATCTCATCAAGAGGTATTTGCACCTCTATTTCTCAAATCCAAGAAAAGGCTCATTTTTCTCAACCCAGTAAGAACATATTTTTCCTTAATATGATGTTACAGCTGCTATCCTGAAGTAACTCCTAATGCATTACATAGTTGAATATTTCACCTACTGATGATGAAGGGCTAAAAAAATTAAACTTTAGTACCGTGTACAACTAATTTAATTGTTTCTTTGGAGCAACAAACTCGACTTTCTTCAGCACAACTGTACCATCCACCAGTCAAATAATATCTTTACAAGCTCATAACTGATTACCCTATGAACCCTCAACCAAGCAAACAACTTTAACATCTATAGCAATTTATGGAAGAGGGAGGCAGTAAGGTTCACTCTGCCATTCATGAAAGATAAGGTTCACTTTATCCACCTTTTCATGTGACAGAAGTTCATTTCCTACTTCCTAGCATATCAGTTATAAAGTCTAACTTGAAAACTACAAGCAACAAAACTCCGAAGATCAGTAGGCATATCAATGGAATATATTATATATATATATATATATATATAGAGAGAGAGAGAGAGAGAGAGAGAGAGTAATACATTTAGATTCTAAAAGTGAACAAATGCCTAAAAGAGTTCGTGCATAGTTTCAAGGTCAAAAACAAAAAATAATCTTATATATCTAAACAATATAATGAGGCAACAGCACTTGAAAGGGGCAACAACAGGCAGATCAAGTACAAAAGGTCTAGAAATTAACACATAGATTCAGGACCCATAGAACAGAGAGGAAACACTTGCCTATGATGTTTGGATCAGAACTCAGAAGTCGGCCCCTCGTCACCTGGCACGTCCACCATCCCTTTAGATATTCCAAGCTCATTTTTATGAATGAAAGAGCACCTTGGCTACCGTGAAGGTGGCTAAAATATATTGACCGCTGAATGATCACTACACATTAAATGATAAAAAACAAAAACGCCACTGAACCAAGAGGAAGAGATACTATGTAAACACAGCCGAATGGGTGAGGTTAAATAACTTGGCAAACTCTTCAATCAAATATCCGAACAATAGTTTTGGGATGCCACTGTTCAACCACTGCATACTTAAAGCACATAAAAATCATGGGATGAAAAAACAACTCATTAAAATAATCATTCGAGAATACAGAACTTCTGGTTGAGGAGGGAATTGGTTCAAGGTGGCATGAGGCTAAAACAGTAAATACAGGCTCATTCCGTTATGCACTCCCGACGTGTACTATCACGTTGATCCAGCCAATACCACAACTGGAGAAGAAGACAACCAAATAGTCCACCCCATAACAAACTAACTACAATGAAATATCTATAGCTCCAAGTCCACTTGTCATACACTAGCTTTGTCAAGGATCCCAAAAGCTAATCAAAATGGCATACTTTTAACCAACATATAAACTTGTACTGATCTGCAAATTCACAGGGAAGCACAAATCCTAGCCAAAAATTTTGGATCTTGGTTACACTTCAAATCTGTTAAAACTGGCTTCACTGTTAAATTATCAAACCAGTTCCAGAGGTCCACAAAAGATCAACAGTGCATTTTCCTTCATCAAAAACAGCCCTAGTCTTAATCCAAAAAAACCTAAAAACCAAAAAATTTCATCCTTCCACAAACTTCCAAAAAATAAGAAAAGAAAATATAGTCCCAAGATAAAACTGAAAAACAACAATTGCACACTACAAGTATGAATCACTACATACGACACCACTACTAGTAATGCGGCAACAACAGCATCATCCATTTCTTTAAATGCCATCTCAAAGCAATAGGAACTGTTATCAGGTCATGATGAAGAATGCAATGATCAATTAATTTAATCCATAGTTCCAAACATGTAGATTATGCTCACTGTACTAATTCCAAAAGCCAACAGAATTCTTTGAATTCACTCATTTAAGAGGCTAAAACTGGCTTGCTAATTAGACCCCACAATAACATCCATACAAATACAATGAAGACAATCCATCAGGTAAACTTCAACCATAAATTAACAACTCCACTTAAAAACACGCCCAAGACATCTTAATAGCAACCGAACTAAAAGAGTTTTCAGTGAGCATGTTAAAAGCTAACTGTTATCATGGTACCAGGACAGAAATATTCATCCTAAGGTTTATCGTTCCTGGTAATGATGGATGCAATCTACCTCCTAGATTATGTCCTTTAAATATAAATTATTGTACTCAAAGGATGTCAACACTCCAACGCAATAAGTGTCCCATCACAACATTAAACGGCTTCCACATCACTCCAAGGGATTAACGTCTATAGGCTCTTGCCGCTCTTTACCTCCAGATAAATATAAAACTCAGAAGTGTTGTCCATTTGTCATGATTTCAAATGAATTCAAACAAAAAGGAAGCAACAACTGAAAAGACGAAGTTGAACAGAGAAGACTCCTCATTCCATACGGACTAAATTCCATATTTACTAATCCAGAACCTGATGCACGTCCCCATATGCACTAGTGACTCTCCAATAACATCCACAAAGTATTTCCCAAAAATAAGAGTTAGTTGTAGAACACAACTCCTCACTCCATAGGAAGTGAATTACAATAGAATCTCATGCACATTAAATCTGCAAAATTTATATTTTTTTTGGAGCATCAGCTGCAGCATAGGACCTTTACTATCCATGTGCAAATACTGCCTTCCTTACAATAATATACCATCCACAAATTCCTCCAGCCTCCATATCCATACAATTCAGTCAAGTAGAGACTAATCCCAACAACTATATTCAGGAGAGGTTTTGTTACGAGTTCACGTCACGAAGATAAAGAGACTCACTAGTACAAAGCAATTAACTTATACACAAAACATAGCATATGCAGTAAGCAAATAGAGCCAAAGAAAAGATAAAGAGACAATATTTCAAACTAACATGTTATAATCACAAGTGCAAAAGAAAATCATCAGCTCAACTAGTTAAAGTAAAGCAACCTTAATTCTCCCATATAAGTTGTTTAAGATAACCAACAATGTTCAAATAAAGGACTCCTGGTGCGCTACGCACAGATAGAACGATGGGTCTAGCCCACATACATACTGCAAACAGAAGCCAAACTAGTGGTGCGCCTTTCTGCAATTTAAACACTAAAGCCATCCAGATCTCAATGACGAGTCATGCGAGGTTTCTCAAGTCCTCCCCATGAAGCAGAACCAGAACCATAGAGAGGACCCTTGTCAGCAGCACCCTGAGAAGCAATATAGAAATGTTAGTCCAGCAAAACAACGCACTGCAGTGCACGGTTATTTAATAACTGCTGAAACTATAAAAAATAATAATAATAAAATAAATTAATATCAGTTTAAGAGCATCCATACCAGATGAAGCCCATATCCATCTCCATAAGGTGCAGGGTAACCCCCCTCCATGCCACTGAATTTCATCCCATATCCACCTTTAGACACCAGATATCAAGCAAAAAACAATTAGAACCTGAGCACCGCAGATAATAAAGGACTGAATGAATTCCAGTTTGCTACATTGTTTGACAGGTAAGTGGTTAATTTTAATATATAAACCAAGCAAGGAAACAATTACTGCACTTTGGTTGCTGAGACGACAGAATAACGAAGGAATTATACAGAATATTAAATACTGCAACGTTGATACAGTGTTGCATAGTTGTATGAAATCATATTTTGGTTTTTGTATCCTTTGTCTCCACAGCAATCATATAAAAATGAAGAATTATGTTCACCAAATAATCAATGAAGATATCTAGAGAAAAGAAACAAACATGGTACCATAAAATGCATGTATTAGAGAGGGCAACAGCAAAAGAATGTGATCCAAATGTCACACAAGTACTCTAAGCACAGTGGAGAAGTGCTGACATAAGAAGTGATTCACAAACTAGGTGAACAGAGAAACAAGAGTAACTACTGCTTAAATCAGCACTAAAACTTAACAGATCAATGTATGAAGGTCAAACTGCCCCACTTTTTAGTTTGATGACATCACGCATAAGAATGTGGCTTCAACTTTGAGGATAGTCACTTTATGCCAAATATTATCTCTTTACCCAGTCCCATTCCCAGCACCCCTGATTAATCAGGACCACTGGGTAATGACCTTTTATGAAATATAAAATTGAAGTCTAAACGGGGCAAATTTTACTAATGCATTCACCTAACAAGTTCCGATCAACTGTGTAAGCCGTATCGCACTAGCACATGTACTCTTCCTCTATGAGCGAGACTTTATCCAAATCTAAGGATCTTCCCAGCATCCAAGGGAGCCTCCATCCAAATCTGCCACTCGATGGGCAACACCTTCTTTTCTATGAACACCACCCCAACGAACGATGAACTTCGCCAGTTTTTGCCTCTGACCCGACCAGGCATCTTGGTTAACATTTTTTTCATAAGTAAAATTTCATAAAAGGCGCTAAAGAGGGGGAGCACTCCCAAAAGAAAACACAAGACGCCAAAGGCGACAACTATAGCTTCAAGCTATCCACAAAATCCAAAAGATGCCCCAAAGATTTACAATTTCAACCATTAACCCAAAAAAATGAAGTATACAGTATCCTCTCTGTCAAAGAATCTCCAACTTCTCTCACACCACAAAGCCCACCATAAACAATGGGGAATGGCCCTCCATACATCCCTGGCTCAGCTCTCCACTAGACACCCTCTCAAAGCCTCAATCATATCCATTGTGGCAAGGGATGTTTAGGCTATGTTTTTGGTTGCGCTTGGCATGTCTCAACAAATTAAAGTATTGTTGAGGCATCTTGGTTAATACAAAAGTTTTTGACTTGTCTCAACAATATTCGTAACTGAATTTTTTCTTTAATACAAGTATACACCAATTTCCTTTGAGTAAGTTCAGCTTACAGTCCAAGCCTACTGCTGGGAAATGACCTATAAATTGAAAGTCTGAAGGAGGTAAACACTAGTGAATTTGCTTTTACAGTTTCCACATTCTTTTTAATGTAGAAGTTTTCGACCTTTCTCAACAATTTTTTTACCTAAAATTTTCTTTAACGCAAAAATACCCTAAAATTCTTCTTCAAGATGAAGCCTAAAGAAGGAAGCTTCAACTAGTGAGTTCGTTTTTATAGTTTGTGGAATTTTATTCTTTAATGTAAGTATACATCAATCTTCTTTAGTTCCTGGACAGTCCAATATCATACCCAAAATCCCACCCTACCAAATTCGAATCAACCCTAACCCTTTCCTGTTCCCACTACCTTAAGCATTTAGTTTAACACCCAAAACTCAATTTATTGCTATGATGCTATCTAAAATTTCGAGCAACTAATTCTCTACATTCCTTGCAATCAATCACTTCAAAAAAGGAAAAAAAGTAAAAATAACACTCCTTACATCGGAAAACCTTGCAACCTTTCTTTTGTTCTTTAAATTCTAAACCTTCAAACCACCCACGACCAAACCCACCAAAAACCTTATTGTAGGTGGCATTATTCTTAATTTTCCTAGTGCTGACCGATATCAAGCACAAATTGATGATTAAAGATAAATGCTGTAGACATGAATTAAAACATGGAAATGTCCTGAAGATGAATATATCGTATATCTATTACTAGGGATTCAACTTGAGCAATAAGAACATATGTTAGAAAATTAAACATGATATTGCTTATGTTGAAGGCACTAAGATGTCAAGGATACACTCAATACAAGACTCATATAATAAATATAAACACAAGTAGAAAAGTAGGGCAGAAAATGCTCCATATGCCAACCCCAAACAGTGGTAGAGTCTTCAATAAATTTAATTTATTACGCCCTACTTTAGAAAATCTTAACCAAAAAGAGAAGGTAGAGGCAATGCTATTTGTATTGGTAATTGTAAAATCAAATAGTTCAAAATTGATATGTGAATATAGAATTATATAAGTAGATTGATGCAGTATGAAATATGGGTACATTTGATAACAAATAAGAGAATGAAGATGTCAAATACTATGAAATTGAAATTTAAAGAACAGTTTCGAAAGATATTTATTTTCCCTTTTTACAACTGGTAAATAACGTAAGAAAAAAAAAGAGTTAAAACACCGTCCGGTGAAAACGCCACAGGCGCAAAGTTTGGTAGGCCTGCGCCGGGGGAGCATAGCATAGGGAGGAAAGGGAGACTGGACGGGTGGAAGAGCCAGGGAAGGCCGGGTCATTTAACAGAAATGGAATAAGGTAAGAAAAAAAGAGAGTTAAAAGGGATTGGAAAATACCATCACCCCATGGTCTACCATCAGCATTTGCAAGTTCTGCACGTAACTTTTCGACTTCACGTGCCATGGAAACCAAGTTCTTCTCCATTGCCTGTCTTTGTTCCATTAGCTCGATATTTGCCTTCTTTTCATAATCAATTGCAGTTCTGCACGATAAATTCTTCATTTTAGCATTTTAGGATTTGGTCCATTAATTTTTTTGTACACTGCAGAGTCAATCCATAACCACAACAACCATAGTTATAACTAAAGCAGTACGTACAAGCTTTACACTAGATAAATTAAACAACGCACAAACCTAGCATGCATAAGCTCCTGATGTAGTCCATCCATCTCATTCCTCAAAAGTGGAATCTGCTTATTATCAGCCTGCAATTTTGCAAGGTCCTTCGTGAGTGTCTGAACTTGCCCTGCCAAATCCTGCCTGATAGCATTCAGCTTCTGAGCTTCAGCACGAAGTTGTACTGCCTCTTTTTTCAAAGGCTCAGTCATGCGAAGATCAGCTTCCAGCTTCAAGCCTCTCTCAAAAAGCTCCCTTGAGCGGAATTCTTGTTCTGCACGAATATCAGCAATGGCAAGATTCATCCGGTGAAGTTCCTCCTTAGCGGCACCTAGCTCTCGCTGCAGAGCTCTTCGATCCTCAACCAATGTCTGATTTTCACCCCAAAGCCTCCTGATTCCAGCATGCTGCATTTCAAGCTCTTCCTCTAACAAAGCAGGATGTGGTGGCATTGGGCGAGGCAAAGGACCACGAACAAGAGCTCCTTCCGGGGGATACCCACGCCGATTATCAAATGCATCACGAGGAATACGATTTCTCCCTGCCATTTCAAGGTTCCTGCCAAAATAGGGGATAAAACAATAAGTGTATGATATAACACAAGTATTAACGTATTGTAACAAAAATAGAAATCAAGCTCTTCATTGGAAAGTTGCTGTCTGCCTGCTGACTTTGTGAAGAAATCTCATGACTAAAAAGAAAATCCGAGAAATATTTAACCCCACCCTTTTTATTATCTATGTACATTTCTACAAGTCAACCATTATGAATGTACCGTTCTAAGAAATAGCATCCCCAAAAATTTATGATTTTTTTATGAAATTAAAAGACCAATATTATTCTATCAGTTACAATAATGGCTCTCAATTTTGCTAATTACAGCCAGCAAGATTCTATGGCAGCCAATCACACTTTTCTGTTATGACAAATGCAGTGAACCAAGAACAAAATAAGAATCACAAAGAAAAGTAAACACACACCACACAAATAGTGCCTACATCCACAGTGAAGATCCAACGAAAGATTCCACAATGTGTAAATCAAGAGAATATAAGTTTCAGCCCCCAAAGCCTAGCCCTCACCCTCACTCCCTCTCTTACGATTTTCAATGTTCTCTCGTTATCCCACTCCAAACCCTAAACACCCTTACATACAAGAGAATTCTAAACAGCGTCCAAGGCCCACAAGCGAAAAAAAATGGGTCAAAAAATTTTCCTCAGGGCATTTCTCGGTTCAAACGGGTCATTACGACCTGGTCTGAAAACAAAATTTGGGGCACAACATCACACTTTCGACAATTTACGAGACCAAGCTATGTAAACTCTATCAAATGATACATCAAGGAAATAAATCCTTATTAGGTTCCCTATAACCAACCCACGTCCAAAAGCTATATATACAGAAGCAATTCCATACATACTCCAACCAACATCACTGTGGGGTTTGACTGTCAATTAAAACAGAAAGCAAAACAGAATAAAGTGATTAAATGGCAGTTAAAAAAAATAGTGGAGGAGAACAAAATCCTCTGTTTTTTATCTAAGAAGAAACTGAAAGACATAAAAATGACAACTATATTTAAAAAGTTTTAGGACTTCAGGATACAGAACTCTTATCGGTGGAACAGAATTCTTTGTTTTTCTTCAATTGTAAAGATTGAGAGAGAGAGAGAGAGGGGAGGAGGAGGGAGAGAGAACACGGTGAATTTTGCTTTACCTCTGTTCTATCAGCAAGCAAAGGGAGGAAATACTTCGTTTGGTTGTGTAGAAACTGAAGAAAAATCTCAAACGTTGCCTACCGTGCGACAGATAAAACTATAGTTTCACAAGCAGAGCCAAACGCAACCATGTTGTCTAGGTTAGTAAATAAAACCTTTTTTTTCCCTTTATACACACATGTATATGCATCTATGAAACCAAAGTAACAAGTAATATTAAGATCCAATATTTTCTTCTTAATTTCCTTGTACTTTCCTCAATTTTCTCGACAACCGAACGGTAATAAAACGAAGAGAATAGAGCGTTACAAACAGAAAAACCTAGTATACATATGTGATGAAAAGAGACCAGAAATATTGAATACAAACCCTAATTCAATTGAGACCAATAAAAAATAAAAATAAAAAAAAGCAATTTCTAATACTTCAAACTATAAGAATAGAAATTTGAGAAAATTGGAATTCAATTCAAACCTTTTGGAGGAGATGAGATCGAGAACTCTGAACTTTGCTTCTGGAGGAGACTCCGGTACCTAATATCTCTGTGTGCGCGTGTGGGAAGAAGAAATCTGGCAGCTGGAGGAATAAAGAGGGAGAGGGAGCGGCGTTAACTTGCGTTGTGGAAAATAAATCTACCAAACGACACCGTTTCTTACTCTATCCCTCTCTCTTATATTTTTGCCCCTCTAATTTCTTTTTTGGCTGAGAAAGAAGTATTGTATTTTTTTCATTTATAAAATAAAAGGTCTTACAAATCAGAAAACTATACAAAAATATGTTTGAATGCCAGTTTTTTTTTTTTTTTTAAATGTTTGTTTAAGACAAATTTAGGCCCTAAACCTTCCGATCTCCTTTATAAACAAAATGTGAAGTGTCTAAATATTTTGTGAGAAAAAAAATTAGATATATTGTTCTCCAAAAATATTTTTTTGAAGAAATATTTTTTCGTAACAAAATGTTTTACAATAAAATAATAGATACCATCAAATTCTTCGAATCAAATTCTAAAATGATTTGCAACTCATTGTTTACCTTAGAGCTACCAAAAAAAGAGTTGTATAGGCTCCATGTCAGAGAGACAGAGAGTTGTATAGGTTGTGTGTGTGTGAACATCTATAGTTTGAGATTAGACCACACTATCAAAAATTTGAATGTGTTTCCAATGACTCAGCGAGCATGTTACCTGCATTTGTTCAAGAAATAGTTGGAAGAAATTTGTTATATGTCACAGTTCATATCACGTCTGTTCAAAGCATTCTTCAGGCATAATTTCCAAATGGCACAAGCTAATAAGACATGACAATTTTCTGTAAAAGGAACATCTAGACAAAAGTAAAAAGGTTCATATTCCATGGAACAAATTCCAAATTCCAGTTCTGGTCATCTCAAAATAATCACACGGAACCATCAATTACAAAGTCGGAATGGACTTGGCTCGAATGAACTGTTTGATAATGGCTTTCTCTTCGTCGATGCGTTTCTTCTCTTCGGGATTCTTTGGCTTCACCTTCCTCTTCTCTTCCAATAACCACTTGAAAAGTTCACGCTGCTGATTCTCAGGTATTGGATCGCGTAACATCACAGGCTCCTCGAGAGGTGGAGGGCCTGGAGGCGAAAATGGTTTTTCACTAACCGGAGCAGTTGCAGCAGCTGTGGTTGAAGCTGGGGTAGATGGAACATCTGGCACTTCTCCCTCGCCCGTATCTTTCTTTTTTGTCCTCGTGAAAACATAAGCTACATATAGATTACACAGACCTCAGTCGAATAAGTAGGGTTACATCACTAGAAACTACTGCATCAAGCAATGAAGTAACTTCAGAATAGTCATCCAGTTAATGCAGCCATTAAATAAACCAAGAATACACTAAATTATACATAGACAAACTTAGAATGCTATAACTCGTCTGATATAAGATAAAAGTCACCATATACATACTAATAGATCGGATTACACCGTTTAGGGAATGATTGGTCACATTCTTAAAGCTATTGGCTGCTACCACCAATAGCAGTTCACAGGGAAAGAATCTAACATGTGCTTATCAAAAGTGCATAACTACAAAATAATTGATTCCAGAACATCAATATAAGTGTAATTGAACCTCTCACCAAGGTATCTTCCTCATTAAACCATATGATTTAGGAGCAGTGACCAGAAGATGTGTCCCTTAGGAACAACAAATGAAAGGCAAAAGCTGTTTGTGCATGTGTTCAATACTGGGAATATAAAAAAATTGCATTCCAAAATTCGAGACGTTGACCAAGAACTGCTAAAATGTCAAAAGAGAACTTCTTCGCAATTGTTTTTTGATAAGTACAGTATCATTGAAGCAAAACTTCTGCATTAAGCATGACAAGCAATGGAAAAGAATAACAGATGGCCTCTATATTCATTCCTTCCAAAGGAAACAACATCCGATCAATCACCTAATGACGGTGAATAAAGGCCATTACACAGTATCACTTCTGCTTATGCATGGTGCACAGCTGGGGGAGGGGAAGTGAACTATATACAGACCCAACCTTTAACATTGTTTTGCACAAAGTGTCTGCTCTCAGGCCTAATGAGATGACTCACTGTCTGATAAACTATCCAAATGTGTAATGCAGTTTTTCACAAGACAATGTAGTCCAACTTTCTAAAATTCATGCTTTGTTCAAACCTGTGATTAATTCAAATATAAAATGAAGAAGAAAAGAAACAAAATAAAATAACTATTAAATTCGGCAAAGATATTTAACAATCGTTTCCTTTCTCCAAATATGAGAAGTTCAGAACTCACTCAGCTCAAAAATCTCCTCACTAAGTGATGAAAGTCACGGACAGCAATAAGGTTCCAAACAAAAATTGGTCATGCTTTAAGCAGCTAAGAAATTAAAACAGTTGAAAGAATGCTATAAAGAATAATCCCGATTGATAAAAAGCATAGAAAGACTAAAAATCAACTGCAGAGTGCAGTCTCAAGCAAGAACACAAAGTAAAAATAGAATTACTATGCTTAAGAATCCTAAGAAAGCATATTTTTAAAATTTTCAACCAGAAAACAAAAAAGATTTAAGCTTTATGATATGTTAATGATATGGTCTGACCCTAAATTTTCAAAAGTTTAAACAGTTAACTACAATATTATTATTTTTTGAATAATTTTAAACAGTTAACTACATTTATCAGCTTTAGTATACTTGAACCCATGCAAGAGATGATAAAACTGCTCCGTCGAGGGTATAAGAATAAGTAAAGTGCATCTCTGACCAAAGAACATTTAAAATGTCCCAACTGTTTAAAATAATTGCAGTACGTAATTCATAGATACAACAACATTGGTAACCTATCTTACCCAAGTCTGGGTAAGTGTATCGGGTGTGGGTGTGCGTCTAAATGTCAGGCATTCAGACCTCCTAGAACTCCAAATCTTAGGATACGAGAATAGGTGTCCAAAAGTCCCAAAAGTTGGATACAGGTACATTACATGATTTATTTATAGTGTAATATTTAATGTTGTTGTTTTATAAGAATATACTTAATTATTACTTAGAGCCTTAGATTAAATGGGATGTGGTAAAAGAAAAAGGTTTTCACCTATCACATAGAAAGGAAACTCGTCTCAACTATTAAATTTGAGTTTTTCTTCTTCTTTAATCATGCGATGTGAAGAAGTAGGGTGTCCAATTTGAGTTTGTGTGTCAGACACATATCCAGTACCCATCACTTGTGTTGTGTCAACACGGATACGTGAAGGAAAATAGAAGAGCTGATGTGTAGGGCGGGTAACTACTATCAAGTAACATTCAGGTCTTCATCTAAGTCAATCTTTCTCTGCTTTGGAACCTTGTAGTTCCCAGCTTTTTGCACTATTTTCATATCTTCTGCATATACTATTTAAAACAAGTCCTAACATCTGGGTTTAAAATGTTTAATCCTGTTACTGCACTGGAGATTGAATGACAAGATCTCTCCGCATTTCAACTTTTGGGCTCTCATCTCTCAAATGGAAGTATTGAAGCAGATATTCAAACCATGAAACAACATCTCTCAGCAGTTACGGACCAAAAAGCATGAAAACAGCACTTATACAATATAAAATATATCAAGCTTCTGCTGCCCTTCAACCTATAAAAGTCAAATCTACACATGTGACCACAGACCATCATCTAATAACTGAAAGCATGGAAAACACGGAACCTAAGAGCACTAAATATATAATAGAAACAAGAGGGGAAATAATAGTCTATACTGATAATTGACATCATACTGTGAACCCACTACCATGCAACTTCCTTGCTCCTTTGATTACCATTAACCGAGTCTTTAAGGTGGATGTGCATGTGATTATATTTCATTCAGTTACATAAACATATGCAGCCCAACATATGCAACCAAAATAGGAAAATCCCAATATTCTCATAGCCATCTCAGTTTTACTCCTCCCTTATCAAACCCAATATGTTAAATATTAACATAAAATTATCCTCCACCAGAAAGATTCAAGACTTATTTTATGCATACAAAAAAAGCAGTAGCTCGAATGACTGCTGAAGACATAGACAACCGAGGCATGTGCCAATTAAATTCCAGATTGGAACTCCAGAATTCAACTAGGAATTTCTTTCCATCTGATTTTACTGACGACAAGTAATAAAATAATCAAACTCTTCCCAAATTTCCCTATTTCATGCACATTTGAACGAACGCGGCACAAACCTAGCACACTACACAATTCCCCAATAGATCCTAAAGAACACATATAGAGTAAATCAATCCCAAACAATGCATTTTGACAACTTTGTTAGACAATACAGCATTTTCCACTTGCAATTCAGTATATAAGCGAAGTTTACTAGATTTTTTCGTGCGCCCTCCCAAATTCTGAAATATTTGAACACTAAATGACTCCAAAAGGTGAACACCACCACTACGAAAATCCCCTATGAATAGTCCCAAACCAAATATTACTAAAATGTAACTAGAAACTCCATACCCTTTACAACAACCAATTACCCATCAGAAAAACACAATTTTAGATTAGTAATCACACCATTCAAGACAGATCTAAAACCCTAATATAGAGTTTGATGCATTTCTTTGAAAAGAAGCTAAGCAAGCTGAGTAACATCACCTTGACCAAGTAATTTATCGGTACCACAAAACACAAATACAAGCACAATATAAATATTTAAATACAGAGCCAGCAAGAGAGAGAGAGACCTCCAACGGCCAAATTGACAGTCAAGAGAAGAGGCCAAATGAACTTGTAACGGCGAGCGAACGATTCCTTCGGTGGTGGAGGAGGTGGAGGCGGAGGTGTAGTCCTTGACGGAGGTTGAGTCCCCATTGACGACGACGAGGATGATGATGCCTTTTGTTGTTTCAGCTGTGCTATATGTGTATAAACATAAATATATATAAAATCAAACAGGATATCAAAAGATTTTTAAAAAATTGAAAATTTAAAAAATGAGAACTAAAAAAAAAGTAAAAGATTCTTCGTGTACGCGAAGCTATCAATCAACACCACAGTCTGTTTTCAAAATACAAAAGGAAGAAAACAAGACAAATGTTTTTGTATACTTGTGTGTGTGTTTACCTTTCTTGCGTTTACGTTGGCTCATTGTTACTTTCTCTCTCTCTTAAACTCCCTCTGCGTCTCTCTCTCTCTCTCTCTCTCTATGCTTCTGCAGTAGTAACTATGGTTTCTTTTATCTTGGGTAACCTTTATGGCAAGTCAATTTTTGATCCAATCAACCCAAACCCTTGAAATGATGGGCGTAGTTTTTTAAAATAAAACGGCGCCGTTTAGTAGAGGCAACGTCATTCTCCTTTGGATTTCCAATTGGTGTCCAATTTCTAGTCTTTGTTTGGGTTTGTGACTAATGGAAGTTTCTTTCTTTCTTTCTTTTTTGTTTTTTCCTGCAAGCAGTAAACCTCAAGCACAAGAGGAAAAACCCTCATTGAGTACAGAAAGAAGCCATGACGGCCAAACTTGCCAATGCAAGTCTCTCTCCCCTTGATGAAAAGCCCACTTACCCACCTGATGAGCAACATTGTTACATAATTTAGGACACCATAAGAGCTTAAATCCCAAATTATTAAGTAACAGAGACTCAATATCCTAAGTAATAGCCATACAAAGAGAGTTAGATGGCCGCAAATTTGCCACGGATTGACAATCCACTTCACCATCAACACAAGTGTAACCCCACTAACAAAGCAACAGCAGACCTTTTCTTAAGACCAGAGGTTCCGCAGCCTCTGCACTGAAAACCGTATCAAAAAACACGAATGTCATCTTGATAGTCTCTCTTTTCGCTTTTTTAAACACCAAGCCTCCCCCACACCTACCGAAAATGGCGTCGAAAGCTGCATCAGTATTAAGTTTAACTCTACCATTGGAATGGGCAACCCATTTGTTCCCAAGAGATGGAAACTGTTGGGTTTGTAAGGAAGAGAAGATCGATGGAGTGGATTACACGGAATTCTGAAATTCATGAAAATAAAATACTTATTTTTCCATAATGAAGGTGGGATCCAAAGTAATCTTATTAAACATCCAATTAGTCCTACCCTTCCAATGTTCCGCCACATTGAAAATAACTCCCTCCATCTAGAAACCCAAGACCCACTGATGCCTTGAAACTGCTCAAAGGGCTAAAACGCCAAATAAAGCGAATCCTTGGGCAGTCAAAAAAAGATGGCAAATAGATTCATCTGATTCGCCGCAAAGACTACATACTGCCATATGAATGATACGTCTTCTTTTCAGATTGAGTAATACTGGGAGGCGTTCATGTAAGCATTGCCATAGAAAAAGTTAAAGCTTTCTAGGTATTGGGATCTTCCATATACAGTGCCTAAAAAAAGCTTTCTAGGTATTGGGCAGTGAAGAGCTTGTGCTTGCAGTATCAAAAAAATTCGGAGGTGGATTACGGAGGTGTAAAGCAATTTTGTAGGCTGACTTAACCGAAAATTTACCATATGCATTAGGAGCCCAAATCTTGCAATCCTCCCTGCCAAAACGTTGCAAAAGGATTTGAAGGATCTGTCCGGAAATATTTGCATCAAAAAGACTTCGGATTAGAGGCATGAAAATTTTGGTTAACTAAATCCGCCACCCATTGACATAGAGATTCAGCTCCAGTAGCAGTAGCAGTAGCAACTAGAGTAGAAGAATCGGGAAGCCATTTATCAGACCAGAGATGCACCTTTTCACCCCGTTGAAATTCGCCATCTCAAACCATATTCGAGAATAGGCTTAGCTGTTGTAAGGCTCTTTCATACCCATGAGGATCGTTGACTGCAATGAGACTGGAGGAAGCTGCTAGAGTCAAAATACTTAGCTTTGAAAACGCGATAAAACATAGAGTTTTCATCTTGTTCCAAACGGCAAGCAAATTTGGCCAACAAGGTTAAATTAAAGCTTCGACCTTGGATCTGGAGATAACCACATGTAGTCCCAAGCAAACATTCCGCCTGTCCATTGTGATCCCCAAAATAGTTCGCACTTGGTGCATCTTCTCATCACTGGAGTTGCTACTAAACAAAAGGCAAGATTTGTCAAAATTAATTAACTGGCCGGTTAAACTTTTGTAATGAATAAGAATTGCTTTGATGGTGTTGACCTCCTCCATAGTAGCTCGCCCAAAAAGTAAAGCATCATCTGCTAAAATAAGGTGGGTGATTGGAGGTAAAGATCGTGCAATTTTAACACCCTTAATCATCCGATCTTGAAAAGCCTGCTTCAACAACAATGATAAGCCTTCAGTGCAGAAAAGAAATAAATATGGCGATAGGGTGTCACCTTGCCGCAATCCCCTAGAAGGGGAGATTAAACCACCTGCCTCACCATTAATGAGGATGGAGTAGTTCACAGTCATAATACACTCCATAACAATGCCAACCCATCTTGTGTCAAAACCCACAAGGTGGTAGATGATACAGTCTTCATCAGGATGATTGTAGCTTATAGAGGAAAAAAAGAAAAAGAAAAGAGAATGATAAAAAAAAAAATTTTGATTGGATATGGATAAACGATCTTCCCATGTTATACTATTTAATTCTCATCCATGAATTGATTTGATAAATCAGATATTGTTATTTATGATATTAATCTAATTAATTTTTTTTTTCTTTTAATTTTTTTTTTTTTCATTAGAAAGAAACTCACACACTTCACTTGTGGCATAATGGTATCTCCTCTACCTCCCAAAGTGGATGGTGTATGATCTAGAGATAATTTATTCATTGAATTTAGAGGTGAAAGATTTATCATTTCCATTGGATTAAATCCCAAGTTATTGCCTACGAAGTTATAATAAATCATAGTTATAATTGTAAATTTTTGCCAAAAGATCATAACCTCCTATGTCACAAATAAATGACAAAGAATAGTATCCTAATAAATATTTTTTTTGGAAATTCTTTAGTAATTTGAATTTACTAAAATCCTAGTTTCCTTACCAGAAGCACAAAAACATATGAGAAATCAGACCCTATGATCTTTAAGACTTTAAGGGCTAGTTTGGTGTGTCAGAATGAAATAAGAAAAAAGTGGAATGGAATAATTTTTTTTCCATTCTTATATTTGGTGTCAATTTTAAAGTTAGAATTATCATTTTTCACTATTTTTTGAAAATGATCATTCCATTAAAATCATTCCACATTCCAACAAAAGGAATAACCATTCCATTCCCACCTCTATTCTCATTCCATTCCAATTCATTCCACCACACCAAACAAGCCCTAACATTCTTCCACAAAATGAATCATACATCGGTTTTATTTTTATTTTTTTTATTATTATTATTTTTTCACTAGGTTAGCGCGCACAAACTTTGACTTCTTATCATCTAAAACTAATAAGCTTTAAAATCACAAAAATGTTCCCCAACTCCGGAAAAGTTGAATATAATTGGCTATAGAATTCTCACATGCCATATAGTCTACAGGTTATGATGAACCGAAGCTGTTAAACCTCTGGTTGATTTAACTAAAAATGTCCAAGTTTTCCATTGAGAGAACTTTAAAAAGTTATATCGAGATATAGAAATGGAGCTTTGAAATTGAAAAAAATAAATAAATAAATAATTCAATTTTCTAGAACTTTGCACTAAGGCTACATTCGACTACGTGAAATTGGAATCTTAAAATTATAATTGGTAGAATTAGAAAAAAAAACTACACACAAAATTGAACTAAAATTTTCTCCGATTCCAATTCCATGCAATTGAACACCATATTTATTCAATTCCATCAATTCCAATTCTAAAGTTTCAATTCCATGCCGTCAAACATAGTTGAATGATTCTCCAATATAAGAAGCTATCAAGCTAACCAACCAACCATGGGAAGAAATATAGAAAAGAGTGGGAAGTTTTCCTCCCTCAACAACTAATAAATGATGATGCTACGACTCACGTTTATCTTACATAAATTAACCAACTCGGTCACCCAAGTGGATTAAGCAAAGAACATTTGAGCTCCACCTACACATATCAAGTGGACTCCTCTAATTTTAAGAATAGGAGATCATTAAGTTACATGAGTAACATAAGAGGATGGAGAGAAAGAGAGAGTCTGCCATTGATTGACCAACTAGAAAGAAGCCTTCATGACATTGTGAGCGCAATTGCAATGATCTTTCCTCGCAATCATCCAGCGTGTGCATCATTTTCATTAATTAGTTCCATGAACGACCAGCACTGTAACCCCGGCCACGATCTCGGAAACCCCCATGACCTAATTGACATTAAACACAGAAAAATAAATTCAGTAAGCAACATGCACTAAATCAAGTTTACACATACTGAAGGTGGTTCAAACCTAGCCAAAATCTGTGGAGTCCAAAAATATTTTTGCTTGCCAACTCAAATACAACTATTTACAAAGTTTCATGAACATAATATATGTTGTTTATGGCCAAGAAGAAAATAGAAACCACTCCAGTCAACTAACCTGATGGGGGAGGTGCACCACGCCCCATAGCTGCCAGCTCAGGACTGACCTTCTGTCCAGCCTCCTCAAGGATGCTAATAAGTTCTTTCGCAAATCTGGCATTTGCAGCTGTGAAGAAAGTGTACGCTGTTCCTTTGGCCCCAGCCCTTCCTGTTCGACCAATGCGGTGTACATAATCCTCAAGGGATCCCGGAAAGTCATAGTTGATCACAAATTTCACATCCTTCACATCTACCACCCAAAAAAAAAAAAATCAGTTTTGAAGCAATTCAAGGATCCAACACCTTCCCGCCCGCTCAAAACTATGCAGTGAGAATACAACTAAAAATAAGTGTATTTTTAATGCATAACCTGGCCACAGGCAATTCAAATAAAACCTACTCAAATACCATCTAAACCAACAAGAAAACCAAAATGTGGGAAAGCTGTGATCAACAGGAGCTGGAAACCCGAATCTCCATAAAAAGAAATACAGAATTGACACCATCAACCCGTGCTGGATGCAAAACTCTAAATATAAATGTGGATGGGTAGCTTAACCATGACCAGAAATACCCAATCTGTTGCAGTTGCATGGTTAGGAGAGAGTGTTAATTAAATAGATGACCAAAGTGGAAACTCAAGTAGCCAGCTTCATTATCTCACGGTTGCCATAAAAGATGAAGTCAAGTGCCACAAATGAAATATTTCATGCATTTGATGTAATGGGGATGGGTACAACGGCGTTTATAGTAGAATGGCAAAAGGGGAGCACGTAGCCAACCCCTATTTATTGTGACTTGTACAAGGTTTTTTTGAGTGCAGAGTTTTGCATACAAGAGAAATAAAACTAGGGATTTACAAAACAATTTTGAACAGTAACAAATGTCCAAGAGTCAGATTATGGAGATGAATTTGTCAAGGTAGACAAGTGGTAACATCAGGATGGTAAAAATGGAAATTGGCATAAAAGAGAAATTAACGTAACTTACAAAAAATAATAATAAAAAGAAAAAAAATTCATGTAGTAGTATCAAAAGGGTATGTATGAGGGAGACCCAATTGAAATACTCTTGCTAGGCACTGCACAACCAATGAGCACACAATTTGGTAGTACTGTGATTGTAGATAAATTATACTCCAGAAGAACAAAGGGAATACATATAAAGTGAAAAATATGGGATGGTGGGTGGAGGAAAAAAATATATAGAGAACATACTAATCAAACTCATGATTCTCACTATCGTCATTTGCTGAACCCACATAGCCTAGCCAAAAAGGATTAACCAAGACTCAGAAATATTAATTATGAATCTCTAAAGTAATTTCATCAATAATGTATAGGGAAAAATATGAGATAGCGGGTGGAGGGAAAAAAAAAAAACATAGAACATACTAGTCAAAGACATTACTCTCACTAACGTCATTTGCTGAACCCACATAGCCTAGCCAAACAGGTTTAAGCAAGACTCAGAAATATTAGTTATGAATCTCTAAAATAATTTCATCAATAATGTATATATGTTACATGTATGCTTTGGACTTTTGGAAAGATAATAGATATAATCAAGTAATGTCAGACGAAAATAAACCATAGGGTACCATGAAGGATTCGAATTACAACGAAGCACAAATATACTCCACATACCTAAACCACGAGCTGCAACATCTGTTGCAGTCATTATAGGACTCTTGCCAGCTTTGAACTCTGAGAGGACCCAATCCCTTTCTGCTTGACTCTTATCTCCATGAATAGAGAGGGCAGGCCAACCATCCATGCGAAGCTGCCGGGTAATCTGGTCACATCCTTTCTTAGTATCCATAAATATCAGAATCCGACTACCATCCATAATATCCTCCAGCAACTTCACCAATCTGAATTTATTAGGTAATATGAATAAAAACTTCTTCTTCAAATCCCACATGATAAAGAGTTCAAGAATTAAGACCTCCAAGGGCTGTTGATTCAGGTAGACAGCGCCCCCCCCCCCCCAAAAAAAAAAAAAAATACCGTAACAAAAAGATATATTCTTGACCAACTTCTTCAAATCCCACATGATAAAGATCATATCCAAACCCACCCCCCCCCCCCCCCCCTGCGGTGCCCGAAAAAAAAAAGAAAAGAAAAGAAGAAAAAGACTGTAACAAAAAGATATATTTTTGACCTACTTGTTATATTTCTGATTTTCTGAAACAATGTCCACGTGCTGGCGAATTGCATGATTAGCTTTCAATTCTGAAGAACCTATAACCACCTGTGCAAAGTCCGAGAAAATAACCAATAAGAAAACACGTATTCACAGCATTTATGATGGAATCCAAGGAAGTAATAACAAACAAAAGCACAGTATTCTGAAAAAAAAGTAAAGTATTTCAGGAGAAAACCCTCCCAAAGAAAGGGGACTAGCAGCATGTCATGACTGACAACTGCATGAAAATGAAGAGGATAATGTGCCCTCCTAACAAGAGCAGTTCACCATATATTACTCAGATACGTAAGGGAATAGTACCTTGTATGGGTTGTAAAGGAATTGCCTTGCAAGTTGTTCAACCTCCTTGGGCCACGTAGCACTCCAATAAAGCGTTTGACGATCTGGACGAATCTGCATCAAACAAACGATCAAACAACGAGAAGCCATCCCAGAGTAAGCAGAACTGCATAGATGATACATACATATATATATGTGTGTGTGTGTGTGTGTGTGTGTGTGTATCTATATATAGAGAGAGAGAAAGAGGGATGAGCCCCCATTTGTTAATGTGGAAATTGTTTCTGGAGTATGCTCCTGTCTATGACCAACTCAAGCTAAGCATCACAGATGATGTGGCCATCTTATTAGTAGAAGATGCAATTAATCATATACTTCTAAAAATTCGTTACAAGCACAGTGATAGAAAACTCATTGCCAAAAAGCCATAAACTATACCCAAACTCTCGATCAAGCACAAGTAAACCAATTTGTTGTGTACATTTCAATAGCACCAAATCATCTACAAATAATCTGGATAGTGTTGTAAATTAAAAAATGAGTTTCAGGATTAGCAATGACAGGTTGAAGAGAACAAATAAATAATAATAATGATCAACGCCAGCGCCGAATGGGAAGATAGGATTCATATAGCTGACCCCGTTGTTGTTGTAATGATCAACACCAGTGCCGGTACAAGGTTAAACAAAGTTAGAATGTCGAAGGGACATGAGCAGGATCGAGATATTATCAACAACATCAAGCAAAATAAATAAGCAAATTGCTCAACTGACGGTCTTTTAAAATTCCAATGCAAATTTCTTTATAAAGTAAAATATCATCATACAAATTAAGAATACTTTATGCCAGAAATTCAGGTTAAAAGCATAATGAGGAACCAAAAACTCTATATGCATGAGCAACAAATACGCTCATTAGAGGAAGCATTCCATCACGACCTTCCCAGGCTTTCTCTAAAATTCTAAAAGCAAACCAGCAAATAAGATTGAAAACAAACTCTCAATAGCTTTTAAGCGACTCATGCGTATGACCTCTTATCTGCTGAAAGTATAAAATCACATCCCTAAACCCTAGTTGCATGAGAACGGTGATTTGAAGAAACAGAAGTGGTTGTTTGGGTTTTTGTTGTTGTCGTTGGTTCTGTCTGGCATTAACAACTCACTCCCTATTCCCCCCATAAGTATTTAATTACCTTAAACATGCATGAAAAACAATTTATAAAGTAATTTGTGTGTCAGTAAATAGCCCAAATCAATGCAGATTTGATCTATATGTCCTTGGCTTAAAATAAACTCCAAATATAAGGCATTAGAAGTGCCAGTAAAATCTTAGAATTAATATTTACCTAGAAATGTAGGTAACAAGTAAAAACTTATAGAGTCAAGCCTTACCAAGCCGAAATCATAGTCGATCAAGCTCGGTCGTCTAATACAAGCTCAATTTCAAGTTCGAAATCAGACTGAGTGATTTAGCAACAGAGCATGATCAAGCTTTTGGCAAGCAAAACTCAAGCAACTTATATCTGTTTTCAGTCCTATAAACAGAGAGTAGAAGAACATCCCACAGGTAATTACTCATGTTGCTTCCTGACATTCTGAAGGCCATTATCTCTCCCGCCAATGCAGGTGTTAGGACGGGTGGAAGGACCACAGACCCGCCCTTTGCCATTATTCACAGACTTTGAACCCTGAGCTTGTACCACTTTTATTATTATAAAATAAATGTTCACATTGCCACTTGTTTACGTTTTATTTTCCTCTATAAAAAAATGCAATAGCAAAAACAAATCATCATCTTACAATGAATCATACAAGAACGAGAATGGGAACACATATTTCAATACTTGAAATGGTGTTTGAAATTCATACATGTAAATGCATCCACATCCCATAATGGAAGAAATCAAAGTTCTCTTTAAATCATTAGGTTAAGTTTAGTTTCAAACAAAAATTAAAAATTGCTAACCAAACTTAGTTAAATGACATCGAAATGATTAGTCTAATAACAGGCCATTGGGCCAATTGTGTAAGCACTATTTAACACAAGTTAAGTTGTGGAAGCATAGGTCATAATTCTTCCTATCATTTAGGATTTTCATAAATCACCAACATTTCACCATATGCATTTTTTTGGGATTTTAAAATAATATCTGGGTTCATTTCCAAATTTGCAAAAGAAAGCCAAAAATAAAAGGAAAATACATTTGTTTAAGTATGATATGCTTCCCAATGATCAAGATAATATATATATTTATACGTATTCAAGATATACTCCACATGTTGAGTCATATAATTACAAACCTGAGAAACAATTTTTCGAATTTGAGGGTCAAAGCCCATATCTAGCATCCGATCCGCCTCATCGAGCACAAGATATGTAACCCTTCGCAAGTTTGTATGATGAGATTCCATCATATCAATCAACCTTCCCGGAGTAGCAATAACAATTTCAACACCTAAGCCGAAAAAAGGTGATGATGATGACGATGATCATCATGATGATAGTTTGTAATTAAAATAATAATAATAATGATAAAAAGAGGAAGAGCATTAGGATATACCCGATCCATGAACATCACGATACAGTAGTAAAGTCATCTTGAACTTAGTCAGCACCTACCTTTCTGAAGATCACGGACTTGAGGTCCCTTTGGAACCCCACCATATATGCAGGTATTCTTAATCTTTGATGATGCACCAAATTTTGCAGCTTCTTGTTGTATCTGAACAGCAAGTTCACGTGTTGGAGCTAAAACTAACACAATAGGACCATCTCCAAGAGCTGAGAGAAAACAGAGAAGACATTACAACATATGCCCTCCATTGAATCAAAAGAATTACAAAAAAAAAAAAAAGAAAAAAGAAAAAAAGGACAGGAAAAATAAGGGTGTATGCAAACCATAACAATAACTGAAGATAAACTAGGGTTACCTAAAATTGGCTGAGCATTAACATGGACAATTGCAGGCAATAGGTAGGCTAGTGTCTTCCCTGACCCTGTTTCAGCAATACCAATGAGATCGCGGCCTTTTAAAGCCATTGGCCACCCTTGAGCTTGAATAGGTGTAGGTTCAGAGAAGCCAGCCTTTTCAATTTCTTGCAGAACATAATCTGGAATCATAAAGGAACAGTCTACCAATTAAACTAGAAATGAATAAAAATACATCCTGTATACAAAATAATAAGAGTGACAGGGAGATAATACAATAATACAACCAAAATATAAATAATGCTCCTACCAGAAATTAAAAACTGAAGTAAGGATTATAAATTTAGTCTAGTAAATAAACTAGTACAACTACCAGAAATCAAACAATGAAGTAAGGATTATAAATTTATGTCTAGTAAAGAAACTAGTACAACTGCACTCCCATCGTCAAGTAGACACAATGATAGCAGGAAAAATAAGAACAGCCACCTGGTTACAAGAACACTATAAGACAGTGGCCATGACATATCACAAAGCACGCAAAACAACATCCTGCAATAGTGAGACTAAAACTGGGTAATGGCATTATTTTAAGGTCCAAAGGTGACAATAGGCAACACCAAGGGTGTAACCCTCCCACACATCCATAAAACCAATGGACTTGAGTAAAGCAGCATTCAATTTCAAGTATTTGGTGACTACCTAGCACTAGACTACCAAAGTCTCCAGTTAGTTGTAGAGTTTCATGCTGTTAGTTATATTAATAATACCAAAGCCTCCATGTAGTAGAGTTTCATGCTGTCCATCTATTTAGCTCCTCGTGAAATTTGATCTACTCTATTGGATTAATGCGGAATCAAGCAAAGGATGGTTGCTTACCAATGAATTAAAGAGTATTTCATATCTGTCCAATGGCATGTGGTACCTAACCATTTGCAAACACGGCATAACTATCACGACCCGCCCCGCACGTGTAGATATTGTCCGTTTTGCACTCTCTCCTCTCAGTCCTCACAGTTTTGAAAACGCATCTACAAGGTTAAGGGGTGTCCACACACATAAATGTCAATTCCTAAAACGCATGCTCACAAGCCTCATCCAAAATGAATTTGACTCCCCTACGATTGAGTCCAGTCATAGTTGCCGCTAGTCGTGAAAAAATCTCCACAAACCGGCGGTAGTAACCTGCTACCCCAAAAAACTATGGATCTCAAACACATTCTTCGGTTGTTCCCAATTCATCACAACTTCAATCTTCGAATGATCCACAGAGACTCCATCTCCTAACACTACAAGTCCGACGAATTTCACCTCTGATAGCCAAAACTCACAATTCTTATATTTGGCATAAAGCCTATGCTCCCTCAAAGTCTGTGATACATTCCTCAAGTGATCTGCATACTTCTCTTCTGATGATGAATACACTAGGATATCATCCACAAACACCACAACAAATCTATCAAGGTAGGCTACACAATTCATCAAGTTCATGAATGTTGTCGGTGCATTAGTTAAATCGAACGGCATCGATAAAAACTCATAATGCCCCATACCGTGTGCGAAAAGCAGTCTTAAAAACATCCTCCTCCTTGATCACCAGCCTCAAGTATATCTTACAAAAACACTTCAATCCTTGAAGTAGGTCAAACAAATCATCAATCATTGGTAAAGGATATTTGCTCTTGATGGTGACTCAGTTCAGTTTTTGGTAATCAATGCAAGGACTTAAGGGTCCGTCCTCCTTCGCGAAGAGTACCAGAGCTCCCCAAGGTGAAGTACTATGGCGTATGCAACCCTTTATCAAGCAGTTCTAGCAACTGCTCTTTCAGCTCCTTTAATTCTGCCGGCACCATACGATACAGTGCCGTAGAGATAGGCGCGGTACCCGATATGACATCCATATAGAACTAAACTTCCAGCAGTGGGGGACAACCAAATTCTCTAGAAACACATAAATGAAATCTCGCACAAAGAGTGGCAACTCTCCATGTGTCACCCCTACTTCGTCTAGACTAGCTAAGAAGAAGGTAGGACTCCTCCAATCACCAAGATCATGTAAGGATGAAACATGGAAGTCGCCTCTTTCCCCCACAAAATAAAAACAATATCCCTCTGGTGTGCATAGTGTCAATCTCCTTCGATAGCAATCAATACTTCAATAGTAGCCCGAAAAGCTGACAACTAGTTTATCCCGAATATAATATCAAAGACCGTCGTGTCTAGGAGGATAAAATCATATACAAGTCAACGACTGAACGACCCGCAACCTCAACTCATAAGATCGACAGACCCTACCATAAGTAACGCTACCCCCAACTAGTGTATCAATACTCAAAACAGACTCTATAGGTTTCATCTCAAAACCGAAAGCGGATGCAAAGGCAAATGAAATGAATGAATGAGATGCACCTAAATCTACTGATACTCTAGCCCATTAACTAAGGAATCAGAACATACCTTGACGACTCACAGACCTATTGGGGCCTCCGTAGGAGTAACTGCGTAGACACGACCCTGGTCCCTGGCCTCCTCCCTGAGGTCGTAACTGACAGACTCGAAAAACCAGAAGTCGCCCCCTTCTTGGGTCCAGAACTCTGAACTGAGGGTGCAGGCCATGGCAACTGTGGCGGTCTACGTAGGACGCAACTACGCATCACACTACAAGTGTCATGTCCCCAAGGGTAATCCCTCCTCACATGACCCGGCTGGCCACACTGATAGCAAGTCCTCTAACCTCCGACTGACATAAGGCATATCTGTGGGCACTTTAACCGATAATGACCAGGCTGATGACACTGGTGGCATACTATTTGTCCCCGAGTTTCTCTTTGTTTTCTCATATGGCCATATACGTTTTAAGTTGCTAATATCTCTTTCAACCCAAAATGTTTACGATGCATCTTACATCACAAGGCCGTGCAACCATGGGTACAAGTTAAAACGCAACCATTCCCCTCTCCCATACCATACTTGTATCTAACTATATATCTTCCATTTAATGGTTTTCCTCCTTCAGAATGACAATAATTAGTTGGTCTACCTCTTTATCTTTTCCTAATAGAATATAAGTATCCTGAGCTCATTGGTAGCACCAACGCCAAACCTTGTGGAGAGTACTGTGGTTGAAACTTGAAACTCTCTACCTCATTTTAGAGAAGAGGGGAAAAATATATAATAAGAATTGAGATGTTTGAGTGCATACTCGATTACCTAACACAACAAAGGAAAGCCCTTTCCAAACTACAATGAGATGCTTACTGACGACATGGTTTCAACAGACTTTTTGAGCATATATAATGTTAAAAGTTAGTTGTATCCCTAATATTCACCTCCCAGTGCCAGAAGAACCAGCACTCAATAATGAACCCAAAGTTTAACCCAATGTCTAACTAAGTCAGCATATCAACGATGGTGCAACGAATCCAAAAATATGAAAATATATTACAAAATATGAGAAATCTAATCATTAAATAGTTCTCAAATTTATCATTCTCATAACATGATTAAAGGGATTTTCTATAAGAAATCGTGCGAAGTACCTGGAAAGCCAACGTCACGGAAAGCCTTGACTGGCTTAGGCACATCCCGTCCTTCCACCGTGATTTCTCGCCGCCTTCTATACTCCTCAGCCTCACTCTCCGACATTGCCACAACAGAAGGTGACTCGACATAAAAGTTCTTCTCAAAAGGAGTCAACCCATCCAAATCCAACTTCCGGGCTGGCTCCGTCCCCTCATAGTCCCTCCTGCTCGATGAGGAACGGACACCGCCATAACTCGAACCGCCACCAAACCCCAAATCACTGAACAACACATAAATTCACACGAAATGACAACAAAGTCAAAATTCATAAACCAGTGCTGCGCTTCTATTTTCACTGTTGTAATCATAAATAATTGAAGCCCTAAAACAATTCACACATACGCAAACAAAATTATAATGTTTTCGTGAGCCAGTGTTAGAATTTTATTAGAACTAGATGAGTCAGTGTTAGGCTTAATTTCCGTTGTTGTAACGTTAAAAACCAAACCCTACAAAAATTGCATACCTAAAAAAGAAACACCTGTACAAATATATTTATATGGAGAGAGGGGGGGAGAGAGGCGATATAGGGTTACCTTCTCCGGTCACGGTACGAACCGGGGTCGCCGGAGCGGCTGTCATAGCGACTCATGATGTGTTTGTACACTTCTGGGTGAGATTAGGATGGGTATAGATAGTGGTTTGAAAGGTTTTGCAGATGGGTTTTTGAGTTTGTGGATTTTCTCTCCCTACAGAGAAGAGTGGAGCAATCGAAATGGGGACGAAGCCCTCTGGAGACCCGTTTGTGATATGGATACTACCAAGAACGCCTTTGTCAGAGTTGCTGGTTTACTTTCAACTCTACTGTGGTCCGTTTAAAATTAGGGTTTAGGATGTCTTAGATGAGTTTAGGAAATCCTTGTTTGGGATAGTGAAAGACGGTGTTTGTTTCCAAATTATACTGCGTTTAATTTATGTTATGTTCGTTTGGGGGGAGGAATTAAAGAGGATGGAAGAGAGGAAGGGATGGGAGTGTTTTGGCTTGTTTGGTTGAAGGGAAGAGAGAGAGGGAAGGCAAGGAGGATGAAGCATCCTTCTAATAGTTCCCTAAGTAATCATTTTTAGTTCATCCAAAATTGTGCTGAAGTAAGAAAGGAAAGAACGCCATTAACTAATAAATTTATATTACCCAGTACTTCTTATAATTAGGAATGACAAAATACCCGGCTCCATCGGATACTTGCACCACCCTGTCCTAATTAGAACGATTATGAATAGTTAAATGGTTTTGGATCGGAGATAGGGATTAGGATTGAAAACCCCCATAGTTATGGGACGGGAATGGTAAAAGGTCACCCCCTCTCAGTTTAAAATGATAAATTATAATTTTATATTTGTAATTTATTTTTTATTCAATAATATTAAGTGTATGTTGAGCAAATTCTAGTTTATTTTATCTCAATCACTAAATATTTTTTTGTATTTTTTTTATTAGTAATGATATTTGCATCGATTTATTACAGTGAATTATCTAACCGAATGTTTTTGATTAGTTATTTATGCACAATACACTTAAGTGAAAAGTCCCACTTCTTTATTTATACAATTTGTTATAGTGAATTGTTAGACTTATTTCTTTTAATTAATTCATTTACGCATAAATAAAAAAGTGGACCCTCCACTTGTATGTATTGTGCATAAATAACCAATAACAACATTTATTTGAGAATTTTTATTTATTATTTTTGTGTTCTTACAATAAAATTAAGTCTCAAGTTGAAATTGAGAAGTTGAATCTTATTTTTATTCGTATAAGAGAGAGAAAACATTTATTATCATAGTTGAAAAATTGTCCTGATTAATTAGGGATGGCAATTTGTCCCGCCGGGATGGGTACCTGCCCCACCTCACCCCTTTTATAGTGATTTTTGGGGATTATTTAGCTTATTTGGACGAGGATAGTTTTTATTAATGAAAACCTGCACGGGTTTGAGGCGGCGACCTCCCCGTTTAGGTAGATAAATTACTAAATTACTCTTATTTTTATTAGTAAATATTATTAGCTCTAGAAACTCTATGTCACATTTATTCACTTTCTCACTCGTTCTAGAGAGCGACAGAGCCCTACGAACTAAGAACGCTCATACCCTTGAATTTTATGTTAAATTATTAATTACCCATTTTTTATGAATTTTTCCAATAGTTATATAATTGTATTTAAGGAAAAGAAATTATAAAGTAAAAAGAAATTCTAGAGCTAAAGGGGGTGAAAAAGTTAAACGTGGCGGGAATGGGATGAAAAGGCCCCCCGTTTAGGCAGTTTTGGGCGGAGAAGGTACATCCATCCAAAACTGCCTTTGTTGCCATCCCTACATTTAATAAATGGTTTATGGCAAAGATGGAGGTAGCTACGCTAAACGGGGATAGGGATGGGTTCTCCCCGGCCAGCTCAAACCACCTTGTTGCCATCCCTATTTATAACCTTTGTTTTATTTACAAAATGACATTTTATCCTCCATCAACTTTAACCCTACTACAATCTCTCACATAAACAACTATAATGTAGTAAGTTTTGCCAAAGTTGTCCAAGCAAATCCAAGACATGCTCTGCCCTGGTTCAAAATGAAGTCCTTTTAATTTCCTTTCTTGAAGCAGATTTTAATTAGTCATTTAACTTTATTTTATTTGTTTTGGTACTTAGACTTGCTTTCTTCATCCACATAAATACATAAACTGTTCTCATTTTTTATGAACGAATTAAATTTAGTCTTAAATTTCACTACACTGTTTTCTTGTGTTGTAATTGCAGACATGTTTAATAGAATTATTTGATTAATGAGGCTATATTAATAAAAAAAATATATAAAAATTTTCATTTTCTTCCTTCCAACCAAAAAAATATATATATATATTTCACTCCATCAATTATTTACACCTTCCGTCCCATTCAATAAATAAAAAGATAAAAGAAAAGAAAAGCCAGGGGGATATTTTCCTTCGAAAGGTTACCTCATCATAAATAATGGTCCGCTAAAACTAAGATTTGTGTTTGTTTATTGCTTTGCAACCATGTCAATTTTTTGACCTATATGTACTTGGCATTATTAGCAACTTTATCAATACTTTGTTGTACAAGAGTAAGGATGACGAAGCAAATATTATTTTGTCCAAGAGTAATGATAAGGAAGAGGAAAAAAAAAAAGAAAAAAAAAGCGCTTATTACACAAGTTCTATTATGTATATTCAATTGTTCGTGTTGGATTCACACCATTTTATTTAAGAATAAGTCTTGAAAACTTTTGTTGACAGTTAAATTAAAAGATTTATTTTATTTTTTTAATTTAACAAGAGGCGAGAGGTAAAAATTCTAGAATACGTGAATTTTTTAAAAAAAAATTGTTGAAACACATTGCTCCTCACGTGACATCTCTCTCTTGAAAGTCTCACTATCAAGAGAGCTCTCTCATTACAAAAGTCATAAGCCTCTCTTTATTGGACTATGAAATTGTGTAAATTTCACAAACCCAAACGCATATATCTGCATAATTCTGGTTATTGGTCTTGGATGTTTGCCTAGAACGGCTTAATGCCCGTTCCCATTTCTGCTTTGGCTGCAAAATTGTTTCCAATTAGCAACCTACCATTCCCTTGTTCAGTATTTTTTATTATTTATTTTTTAATAGTTCAAGCAAATACACCACCCACTATATATTTTTGCACCAATTAGGACTTGAAAACTCGACTTTTCCAAAGGAAGTTCCCTTACACCATCTAGGTTAGACTCCAACGTTCTGTTCTGAATTCTCTCCAATCTGGGAGAAGCCACTTGTAAACATGTAATTGATTCTTTATTTTAAGTTTAGATTGTCTATCAAAAAATAATATAAAAAAATGTCAAATTGTTCTGTAGCTTCTTTTTGGAAAAGATTAACATGCAAGTCATAACCAAAAATTCACACAACTGCCAGAACCTAGACACAGCATACCTAGCGAAGCCATGGCACTCTCATGATAATATCTCAAGCTAAATAGAGAGAACAACTTCAATTTGAATGAAGAAATGCTCATATTATAAGCAGAAGGGGAAAAAATATAGCAGAACGTGGTATACACTATTCATGTTTACATATGTGGGGATTGATTTGCTTCCACTGGCAAGAACTAAAAGGAAACAAGAAGTCACCGCCATCGCTCCATCCAAAAGCAAACCATATAAGCACAGGTAGCCATAAAATTCCTGCAACGGTGCATGATCGCTTGTGTTAGATGTACACACTGCTACTTGTGATGCCGACGAGTTCAGTTAGCAAGAAAGACACTGTTGTCAGCCCGAGCATGATCTAGGTTTCCCATTTCTTTGCCTGAACACGCAAAAATATAATCACTGATGAGCAGTGCCAAAACGGACTATGAAATTAGCATTTGAGATTAGAAATTAACCAAAAAGAATCCTTCTTCTCCTGTGCTAGTAACTCTTCAAATGAAATTTCTGCAAACTCGGTATCTGTGTCTTCTTCCATCATCTCGCCAGATTTGGCTTTCAACTCCTCGCAAGCACCAATTTCAAGCATCTTCATATGAATGTGAGAGGATTAGATATCATCCAGCATCTTTCTCAAACTAAAATTAAAGACTTATTCTAAGGAGAAATGTTAACTCTTGTTAAAGTAACATAGAAATCATTCATCGAGAGGGAAAAAAAAACACAAAAACAAAGAAAATAAAGGATAATATTGGATAGTAAGTAGAAGGGAGAAGATAAGAGACGTCTATTTTATTCTCCTTTTGCAATCTCCCACTAAAACATTGCTGATGCAACTACTACTACTATAATTTGCTACTTATAACTGATAATTGGATTACCTACAAACGCTGAAATTGATATTATCTGACCTTGTAACCACACATCACCCGACAAAGTGTAATGCAGTTACTTAAAAGATTTTATAACATGATTATTAAAGATGTGACTGTCATCCTTTTAATTCATGTTGCTCACTTTTTCAATTAAATCAGCTGCACCAACCTGACCCACAGTACTAGCATTGATATGTCACCATGTAGAAGTATTTCAGTAGAAGTGTTGTCAAGGAAATGAATGCAGTTAATTATTAGTCATTTGCAAAGTAATCATTAACCACCATCCCCCAAAACTGGTTATTGAGCCAAGAACATCCAAAGTAATACCAACACAATCAATATTTAGAGCCTCCCATAAAATGTATTGAATAGGGTAAGTTACAAATAAAGGTCGTTGTTACCTTCTTGTATGCTGGTGAGAGCTTAAGCTGTTGTTGGAGCCAGTTATATACAAATGCATCTTCTTCTAATCTCTTTTGTTCTAATTCTAGCTTGTATATCTGCATATACCAAAAAAGTTAATTTTCACCCGGTGGCCAATAGAATAAAAAATATTGTCCGACAGGAGGAAGTTCAATAAACTAGTTCTGTAACAAACCTGTTGACGAAGACGGTCAAATGAAGACCTGTCTGCTTTAAATAGTAGAGCCTTTGTTATTGTGAACTTACGTTGGATGACCTCAGACCTATGCATCAAAGAAAATTGCAGTGAGGAATTCGGGAAACATGAATTATTTCAAGCCTGGGTTGCCTTGAAAAACTAGAACTACTCAAGATCTATCAAGTGATGATAGGATGTACATGGTAACAACAATATTCATATTCTTGGAGTATCTCCAGAGAAGAAATCAAAATTTGTGTACAGAAATAGGAAAGACAAGACCAAATGTTGTTCAGAAACTAGTTGACTAATGGCCATGTTTTTTGAATCTCTCAAACATTTCAAGAATTATTTGCACTAGTCTACTGCAAATGTGAATAGATCACACATGGTTGGATTGCAAACTACAAAATCAGAATACTAATTTTTAATGAATGAGTAGCAAATATTTGAGATAACGGGAAAATTTTATAATTTGTTGCATCACAAGCTAACCAGCAAAAGCAATGCATGCATGTCTGTTGTGAATAGTGCATACACAAACATAAAGAAAACACAACAAACTCAACAATCTAAAAGGAATTTTATAACATACTTGTGCTGTAGATCATTTCTTGCATCAATCAAGCAATTAACGAACTGTCCAACCTGCAATACAAATAGCATGAAGAAGTATATAATTGTTGTTGGGGCAGCGGAAACACACTAACACAAAGATCCAATGAAACCAAAGAACGCAATACCACACAAACACAAGATATAACGTGGTTTGGCATTGATCTTTGAGACAAATTCCTAACAATTGTAAATGCTGATTTAATCAAATCCTTCATAGCTTCCATTCCATGATTCAATGCAATTTTTTTCATAAAATGATTTAATGCAATTGAAAAAAAAAAAAACAAAACAAAAACAAAGTTCTTATTTTGGGTACAGCTTTGCATTGCACCAATCAAGTAAGGAGGACAAAATCATACACTAGGTCTTATTTTAATTAAACTCCAAACTTGAATGAAATGCAGAACAATAAGGAGACTTAAGTACAAACAGGATAATTTTCATAGCTTTAAGCGGCCAAGACCAATAAGTAGCTTCCAAGTTTAACGGAATGAAAGGTAGAATAATAAGTTATGATCTATTGATAGAACTAACTCTTTAAGTGCAGTAGGGAAAAGAAATCATGTCTCATTCTGCAGGAGGTCAAGAAATTGATTGGCATGTTATTGTGTTGTATGTTTAGAGGGAGTAAAAAAAACAAGTACAGGCAACTTTTCAAACTATCAAACCTTTTGCACCATCTGATGAGTAAGAAAAATCTGACAGATCAACTGGTATGTGCCTGTAGTCTAATTCATGTTGTGTGACTGCAAATGCACAATCACAAAAGACAAAGCATTCTGCTTTTTCTTCATATCCATTTTACGAGTTGAAACTGTTAGTTTTTTAAAAGGAAAGTTTTTAAAACTTCCCTAAAGAGAAAATTATAGATTATAAATGTTAAAAAAATTAATACACCAATAAAACCAGAGACACGTGGTTACAACAACTTCTCCTAAAAAACATTATTTTCCACTGCAGACACGCCTTTTCATAACAGATGTGAAGTAGGCTATAAATACCAGGCTACTTCAACATATGGTACACATGATTAAAAAATTTCTTTCTTCTCTCACTCCCACTCTCTCTCTCATGCCCTACAACTTTCGTCTATATTGTGTATACCATATATTATTGAGTATTGTGTGTTGGGCAACATGGCATGGAAGATTTGTAATTGTCCATCTGTGAGCGTGCTCACAGAGGACTTTGGAGTTGTATCTTTGAGCCGTTTGGCCCGTTTCGTAGTACGTCAAAACGAGGCTACAAAGGCTTTAGGACAACGCATGAATGTGTGCCTCTGCATTATACAGGCCATAATTTCTTTACTATCTCTTATTTAATATAATGGATTTTAGATACTGAATTGTTATTTTATAATGTTCTTGTTTCATATTTATTGTTTGAAAAATAAAAGTAATTTTAGTATACAGCATCTATACGTGTAATTAAAAATATACATAATACTCAAAACCCCCCAACAGAAACTTCCCAAGGAGGAATACTACAACAGAAGCCACCAAAAGTGACAACCTGCACATTTATTATCAGAGGTAAATATTTTTGCCATAAATTTATCTGGAGTACAAGCCTAATTTATAAGGATTTAAACACTGCAAACTAGTGTAGAATACCTCTTGATTTTGGACATACAAATCCATGTGAAGTGTTATAGAAGAGCGGCATGCAGCACATGGTTTCATAGATATCTATGTCTAGGGATATGCTCAGTCTAAGCACCAGAGATGCAAATCTATCTCAGACAAATGACCTTTCATCTTCTATCATACTTTAGATAAAATGTTTATTCATTATATATCATAATTTATCTATCATCAATTTATGTTTAATTGTAAGCTAGTAAATTATTTTATAATATGTTCGATCACTACTGAGCCAGGCCTAACTATTTCTTTTAAATAACTAAGCCTAAGAACAACAAATGGGATCAGATTGAGGTTAGACAGGCTTTAGAACCCAAGGCCAACTCACGGCCAGCTCAATATCAAACATGTGGACGGTGGACCGATGTGTGCCTCTACCTACTTCTACACGCACCAAACGACATTTTATTATCTCTTTCTATCAAAGAATATATTATAATGTTATAACCTCATCAATGGAAACTTTATACCGGATAGTTCATGTTATGGCCAAAAGAATTCTACTTAGAGAAGAAGTAAAAAATAAAATAAAATAAAAAAATAAAAGAAGATTTATAACCAGAAGATTTCAACTTGTCTTGAGGCCTGCTCTTTAGAGGCTGGGTCTGACAGATGGTGACGGAAATAAAGAAAAGAACCATTTTCCTTCACTTCTTACGTGTTTGGTTGCCACAAGAAAGGTGCATCTCATCGGTAACTGTTTTCTTGCAAGAAGTATCTGTACCAAAATCCCCCCCTCCGTTTTGTACAGGATTATGCAATTGTGTGAAAGTTTAGAATCTCAACAAACTTTCTTGTAAACCAAACACATGTAAGGAAAGCAACATTTCTAATTTTTTCCTTTACTTTGAGTTATTTTCTCAAGATTCACTATTCCAGAAATTCCTAAGAACCAAGTCTAACCTATATTTGCACATGCGTTTGCACACGATTATGCATTGGGGGGAAGTTTAATACTTTCCTGTAAACCAAATAAATGTAGGGAAATCAACATTTTTACATTTGCTTTACTTTAATTCACTTTCTCAAGAATTACTTTTGTGCAAAATATTCCTGACAACCAATCGTAGCATATGGTTCTTTGACAAACACACTTCATATACATGCAACAAGTTGGAAACCCAAATACAATTGAGCATATTCCATAAAGCAAATCCACAAACAAAATAAATAAATATATTGTCATGCAGTTGAGACCTCATATCTAAATTTTGCAAAATTGTCCAGCCAAAACCCCAACTGATTGACAGAATAGTTGTATAAAAAATCACGTGTTTGTGAACATCAAAGTCAATGCCATTGGAGGCAAATCATGTAACAGAAAATCAATGCATGAGAAAAAAGGAGGAACTAGGAATGTTTTAAGAATGGTATAACTCACAAAATCGAGTAGGATTGAATATAAAAGAACATTTACAAGAACAATTAGGAGTCAAGATGTGCAAGCACAAGGACACGCATGTGCTTGAGAGAAAGAGTTAAAACCAATCATGTGCTTGGAGCAAGGGTAAATATTAAGCACAAATGATAAATTACTGCAATTCTTCTCCACGCTTGGAGAGGAAATGAATTTAACCACTCTCTCCAGGATGACAACATAATGTGCATATATGGTAGTAGATAGAATTTAACATTGAAAGTGGTGGACAATGCAGAAAGTTCATAAATGATGGATTGATTATGGCCTTTATTATTGCTTGCAACTAAAATAATTATTTTGTCATTGTAGTTTTTATAATGTCACTTATTGTATTCATCGATCAACGACGGATGTACCATATTAGCTAAGCAGTTCCATGTTAAGGTCATGAAGTAAATAAGGAAGTACATATGCTACAAGCAACATTGTAGCCTGATTGTTGCACCTAGTAGAGGTGGAGATGATGACGACTTTTATTGAAGTTGTAACTCAAAAAGGAAATAAATGTATTGTGGAATCGAACCATTATATGCTGTCCTACTTAAGATAGCATGACCATGAGCACCAGTACTGATTTTCTCGTTCTTTTTACTTTTCTTTTCTTTTCTTTTCTTTTCTTTTTTTTTTTTTAATTTTTTCTTTTGGCAGGGAGGAGGTATGCATGCACGTTTGCAGATATTTGCAATTGTGTTAGAGATCTGAGTGTTGGATCCTGACTTATTGTGGAAATGACTTTGTCATGTGACCATTACCGTCTTATTATTCTGACTCACCTTAATATGTACATGATCAATGGGGGTATTATTTTGTGTATGAATGCAAGTGAGGAATAGAATTCAAGTTTAGGTGATGGCTTAACCCGAGGTTTATGGGCACGGCACTAGCAGACTTTACTATTGAGCTAGCTGGCACATTTAAGATTGATACAAATCTCAGCGTCCATCCAGATTCTGAGAGGACTTATGTTGTCTAACTTGTATCTTTCTTTTCCCTAGCAGTATCAGAGTAGCTGCTACTGATTAGCATTCATGAGTGAGTCAGGTTTGGGCTCAAGCAGCAACACAAAGCAAAGAATCATAGAACAAGCATGGGTAAGTGAGTAGCAACAAAGGGACTTTCACAGTAGAACTGGGGTACACTTAAATTAGAACCCAATTGATCAAAATCCAATCTAGGGGGCCTAGGCTTGATACTTTAACACTACTTAACCTAATTGATCTAAAACAAAAGACCATTGCTCAGTATTGGTCCCACCTATACAGGATGCTGGGAGTGCTAGAGTAATAAAAACCTAACCTATGGTGTTATTGTGCACAAATTGATTGCTCTTAACCTCAAAGTCAAAACCACATCTTCACACTCAGCAGCCCTGAAAATTTTCTAGGTAGCTAGATTTTTGGTGGAATGAAAATGTTCCATGTATTGAAACATATGTCAAAAAACACAGATTGCAAGTAGGTTTACTGCTAACTCTACCTGCACCCCTGATTCTAGTTGCATAAGGAGCTTGTACTTCATGAACAAGTTCCTTTTCTTGTAAGCTGATGAATAAGAAAACAAGTTTCCATAACAGTTGGTTGCCTTGCATCTTCATTTATTGAAAAAAGAAAAGGAAAAAAAAAATTAATTGCAGCATGACATTTTCAAGCAAATCATCATTAAACTGGCTTATAGCAGGTTTCTTTTTCTGCCATCTAAACTAGATTTACTTGCCAGCTACTTCACTAGAATCTTTCACGTGGGATGTATATTAGATCCTTCAAGCTCCATTGCAGTGACATTTCCACAAATGTTGTAACAAGCACAGGTGATACTTTAAGTTTCATGTGACAAGTTTATAACTTCTTTCTTCCAGAATTTAATGCCATACTTTTTGGACACAAAGAATGGCATACCTACTGATAAACCACAAATATTTGAAGAATGGCACACCAAAGTATTTTTGTAACCATCAGGTACATACATCACATGTGAGTTCCCAAAAACTGAGATAAGAAGGTCTGATAAAATCACTCCTAGGGCTTGACCACATAACTAAGTGCGATATCCATGGACCTCTGTAACATAACATGCATGTTTCCAAGGATGCAAGTGACTGTCATCCCCATAAAATCCTGAAAGAATGCTCAAACTCCACATCCCAAGGAGGTTATAAGAATCTGATGTAGGGGACAACATGAAGCCCTTCACCTAGTACGACCCAGAATGAAAACCTCAAGCTTCACAATTCCAAGAGAGTGAATTGTCTGAGAAAACAGGAAACACGCACTTGTGCACTTCTCTCGTCCTTACAACACAATGGGTGATAAAGTTTAACTTGAAAATATATTTCATAGAGTTTGAAGGGTAGGAAAATCTGCTGTTTATATGGACCAGGTAAAGAGTGGATTCAATATTTCATAACAAAAAAAATCCCTTGGTAGAAAGTTTTCCACCATCCCTAAAAGTTTCAATATAAAAAGTATATGGTGTTTTGAATAGAGAGAAAAGAATCATCCATAGGTACTCATGATTTCTTATAGATGACAAGGATTAAACCAAAAACCTGTGTTTATAACTTCCCATATAATTCCCATTGCCTTATTGAGTATAGCATTAGAAGGGTAGGTAGAAATCAGTAACACAGCAAAGAATAATTCTATATATAACAGATATATCTAATATGAACAGAAACTAAACAATTACTACTGACCAACAACAAAGTTGAAAACAAGATCATTTTTTTTTCTTTTTTCAAATTTATCTTGCAAACAGTGAATACCTTAAGTTATCAAAAACAATTAAAACAAATGAAACTAATAAAGAAAATTTAGGTGAGAAAAAATAATAAAACCTGAGCTAGTGTCAAGCCATTAGACTCATGGGACTTCACAAGCTGATCATACTGTTGCTTGATCTTCCTCTGCGTCGCGCTGGAAGACGACGTAAACGGATACAAACACACCAATTCTTGCTTCTCCTTCACCTCCAACCCCTCCTTCTCAACAAACCCCTCTTCACACCCCTCTTCGGCTTTCGAATTTGCCCTCTTCTTCTTCACCCTCTTCTTCTTCTTCTTCTTCCCACAATCTTCTCCACACGAATCAACCCTTTCCACATCCAAACCCGACCCGTTTGGAACCTGGTCATCCCGTGCCTCGCCGCTCAACAGAGTCGCCCATTTGGAGGGCGAGATCTCGAGAAGAAGCGAATGGGTCAATTGGGTCAGTTTCAATTCATGTGTTTTATCTGTAATTTTCGGGAGAGAACATTCGATGGCTGAACTCGAGCTTTGTTGGTCTGGTTTCTTAAGCTTTTTGTAGAGAGAGATGATGAGAATGGAGAGAGAGAGGAGAGAGAAGGTGAAGAAGAAGAGAAGAGAGAACATGGGTTGTTGTGGTTTCCACTGATGGTCCATTAGGAATGGAGGATTAGACGAAAGCAGATAGAGAAATGGAGGTGCAGTCGGACTCAGCACCATTAAAACGCGGCATTGAGGGAGAAAAAAAGGAAGAGAGAGAAACTAAAAAGATCTCTGCTTTGTGATTTTTATTTTAAAACTTTAAAATTGGTTTCGAGGCTATATATATATATGAATAATACTTTTCCCTTGGGCCTCAATTTTGTTGTTCCCCATTTCAAGTATGCTGCTGCTTTGGAGCTTCTATACTTCTTACTTTGTGTCCATGGAGTTGATTAAAATGACAAGCAACTCAATAGCGTGTGTTGTGTGAAAAAGCATATAGTCAAATCAATGGGACAAAGTTTTTTTTTTTTTTTTTTCAAAGTTAATATGTGATTTTGTCCATGGTTCATGTGATTTTGCCCCCGGACTGTGTGATCATACAAAAAAGTAAACAACTAAGACTAAAATGGCATAGCCTAATAGCGAAGAATTTCACCTCACAGTTGGAGATCAAAAGTTTTAATCTCCCTGAATCTCGTGAATTTTTTAGTAATTGTTCATTTGATTGTCTTGAAAAACGTTTATGTTATCCTATTTGATCTTCCATGGAACCAAATGATTTTTGTAAGCTGTTGCATTCAGGATTTAAAGTTGCTGCATGTACAATTATTGTGTTCATCAGGATAAAAATGACACCAAAGAATGATGAAAATGAGATAAGAGACGGATAGAAATAACCAAAAAAGATGAGATTCATAATGAAGTGAGAAAACGAAACACTAATAAAAGAGAAATGAAATATAAAACACCAATATATATATATTAAAAAAAAAAAAGGCATGGTAAATGACATGAAAGAATTGAACAATAGAATTCAATGGCCAATCTCATCCTTATCAGATAAAGGTAATGACGCTGATGATAAAGATGAAAAGGATTGTGGTTGGTTCCAGGATAATGACTTTTATGAAAAAGTACACCTTGTGACTTTACCATTAATTATACACATTCATTTCTGGTGTAAGATTGCGATGGGAATGCGAGTGTGTCAGTTGTGGTAAAGTCGTAATTAAGCTTTCCTTTATCAGAAATTCATTAAACTTTCTTCCATTCTTTCTTGTCAATGGTCTATTTTTAGGGTTAAAATGGTTACTCCACTACCCTTTTTCATAGGTTTTTTCCATTCAGGTTACACATATAAGGTTAAAAAGTAATCCTTTTGATTGAGATTTTTCCTTCTTTTTTTTTTTTTATCTATCTATTAAAGTTACATATGTAAGGTTACAAAATTAGTCCTTTTGACTGGGTTATATCTCAATTATGGTTTGACAGTATAGAATACTATCACGATTTTACAATATAACAAATGAAAACAAGGTCAGTGCAAGGTAATGGAAACGAATTGCGTATCAAAGGATAGCGAACCATAATCTCAATGTAATGGTTTAAAACTGGATTGGAGATTTGGATTTGAAGATACTCACTTTATGTTTTAAATAAATGTGAAAAGGTTATTTAAGGTTTGCTTATCCAATCACTTTAAAACAATTTTCAACAATTTTAAAAATAAAAAATTATTTTTAAAAATTTATAAGAGACTCTCATTTAAAAATAGGTTCTTTTATAACTGAATTTTTAAAAAATAATTTAAAAAAATTAAACTAAATAAAATTTTTATTTACTTGTTTTTTAAGTTACACCGAAAATAGAATACTTTGCTATAATTTTGTCATTTCTCAAATTATGAATGGAAGAAAAATAATCCACATCGACTGGTCAATAGGTCATGCAGTCTAGATTTAGTCCCCACCTGCAATCAACATAGTATGTTCGTGTCTCATGAGCGTTGAATTATCGCCTTTGAATTTGTCATCACTCTGTATTTTTATTCTAAAAAAATTAGGTCTTTGATGCAACAGGACAGACCTCTGTTCAAAGGCTTCAAGAAGTTTACAGTATAATAAACTAGTATTATAATATGTAATAGAAGTCAAATTGCGGTTAGCAAGTTGTATCTTCCATTATAAAATACGCCTACCGGGTCATATTAAAATACCTTCTTTTTATTAACCTAGTTTGGTTGACTGTTATGGTAAACTTGATTTTCTGTCCAGTATAGAAGTCTAGACAACGACTGCAAACAATCTTTTGTTTGTTTGTGAAATAGGAACCATTCTAACCACGAATGATTTGGACTTGTGATTGTATGATAAATCATTCGCAAATTACACATATCATTTAAACTCTCTATGATTTTGCGTCTTATGATAGTCGAATCATAATATTTTGATATCATTTAGACAAAGTTTTTGTTTTTTACCACACTTCATTTCAAAAAGCAACAAACTCATAAATATGTGGAATTGTAAGAGAATTCTTATTTCACTGTTGTGAGAACTGATTTTTCGTATTCATTTATTAGAAAAAAGAAATTTGTAGAAAAATTTGGGTAATTGACAGTTTCTAAGAAATCTTTTCTAAAAGCTCAATTAAGAAAAGGGTTTGTTTTCAAATAATTGTCTTATATAGTTCTTTGAACTGTTCTTGGAATGGCAAACCAAACAAGCTCGAAGTTAAACAAATGCATCATAAAGAACAATGATAGACCCAACAACAGTAACTATATGATCATTTGCAGTGAATGGTTTGTAAATCATGAAGTGGGTTTTCAAGGTATGTCCTGATCCAGCCCAAAAGAGCCCTTGTTGCATCTGTACTGTCATGTCTCTGCCTCTAATTTGCATTCCAGTTTTGCATCAAACAGTCATTGAAGAAAATTGAGCCAAAGAGTACAAGAATCAAAAAGTAAAAGTAGATTGCACTAAAAGGTTATGAAACCTTTCACTCAACAGTTTGCAGCAAACTTACACTACTTCCATGTGCGCGCGCTGAAGAAAGCTCAGGTAGAATGAGTGGCTGCAGACTAACAGTCATTCATGGGATTTTTCTGAGTTTATTTTGTGTTTGTTTGCCTCTTCATAAAAAATATATATATATATATTTGTCACTGAGCGAACTAACTGTGAAATTATGCTATTTGTTTGCATTTTACAGGATTGCAACTTCTGCTGATATTTTCAACCTCAAAAACACACACACACACACACACACAAACACACAACACACGCAAGTAACTTTGGGACAATATTTGGAAAGCTTGATATTATTATTAACTTATTACCCTTACAAAACCTTATTACAAGGACAAAGCAATGAAACAATTGCTTCCAAGAAAGTTACATTGAAACATACAATTTTTGAAATCACTGAAAGCAAAGAGCTTACATGTTAAGATAATTAAAATAATAATAATAATAATAATAATAATAATAATAATAAAAACTAAAGCATAACCCCCCTTCTAACTTATGTTTGACACTGCAGACAAAGATCTGACAGACAACACCTATTCTATCCATAATCATATCTTCACATTCTATATATATTGGCCTTGCACCAGATAGTGTGTTGTATATTTCTACAACTTCACTCTGGCAAAGCCGAAACCAATGGTGGCGGCAAGCTTGAAGAATGGTAAAATCTATGGGAAATTCGTATGGAAGTGTAAAAAGAAATATCGAGGGACCTTCTTGAACTTCGAATGCTCTGCATCATCAGCTGCAAATGGCTTCTACAGAAAGTTTCTTCATGATATTTGGACATGGATCTCCCCCAAACATCTCAGGTGCTACAGTTACTGAGCATGATTGTTGCCCAATGCAGTACTACAACATGATATTCATGCAATATATGTCATGAAATCGGTAAAAAGGCAAAAGGGAAAAATGATTCAAGTATGAAACAGTATATGAGCTTGCTTTGGCAAATTAGAATATAAGGCACCAAACTTGGCTGCTTAAATTTAGGCAAGTTAAGTTGTTCAATCAAAAAACTGAAAATATAACTTGTGAATAGCAATTTTTTTTTTTTTTTTTTTTAATGCTATTAAGGGGAAAAAAACACCCTAGAAAAAAACTCAAGAATCCGTTATCCATTTACCAAAAAGGGATAGTCACTAGTGAATCAAAGACAAAACTGATCAAGTTAACCTACAAGAAAACTGGAAAAAGTCAAGTGAGATTTGAAGGTACCTTTTCAAAAGCATCATAGGAGTGGTGGGCATGACACATCCCCTCTCGGAAACTTCCACAAACCCCTTCTGGGGTTCCGAAGCTAGCAAATTTAATTGATGAGATCTTTTGATCAGGGGCACACCACAAGTGAGCCTTAGGCCTAAGGGCTTTATTCACTTTACCAGAGGACTGCATCTGCCAATTCATTAGAGTTGGCTGCCACTCAAAAATATCAGCACAAACACTTTGTATTTCTCTCTTCACCAAAGAAATGCCAGATGGGTCTCCACCCCATTCTTCGAACACAACCAACAAATTACCCGTCGGGTTCAGCCAGGAACGAGGAACATGATACCTGAAATTATGAGTCAACAGTCAGTCAATTAACTATTTTATCACCTTGGAGAACAAGTAGTAGGATCTTTGTCTCACCATCTTTGGGAAGCTTCCCCACAATTGCTAAGGCACTTCTTTTCATCAAAATAGCCGGCATAATTACATGCACTACAACTACCAGATGCTTTGTATCCAGGCCAGTAGCGTCCAACGCTTTGCCCATTTATCCATACCTGACCTTTCCCCATGCTACCCATATCTAAAGCCAAAGGTTCATTTCCAGGTGGAGCATTGAAAGTAGTCTGGAAGCATGACGAAAAAGAAAAAGAATCACAGTTCCAATATTAGTAGCCTGAGTAAAAAAAGTGTTCGTTCAAGGGTGTATTTCAATGCATGCTCTTTGGTTGAAGCATTTCTGGAGTCAACATGTTTAGTTTAAATGCATAAAAATTAGCCCCACTTCTTAATTTTTTTGGTTGAGGACAACTACAAAAAAAAAGGAAAAAATTCTGTTTTTCTGAACGAAAATTTGATCTTGTAGAAACTACATTAGCACACTTTCAGCACAGTAGCAAAGAAGACTTGACCCAAAATTGAAATACTCACCTTGTACCATGTCAAAGGCTGCTTCTGAGAAACCAAATAACCATCTATCCACTCAACAGAGGAACTTCCACTGAGAGAATGAAGACTTAAACCTTCTCCTTCTAGACCAATCTGTTCATGGACAATCAATCAATTATTTCTAGGATGCAGAGCTATGACTATGAGACAAGATCATAAAGTGTCTAAGTCTAAACACAAACCTTGTAAGACCATTTCTGCCACGACAAGTCTCTCCTCCCCTCATTGAGACCATTAAGGGAAACCGGGCCAAGCACACCAGCATTCCATGTCTCGAAATGCGGACCAATATTCTATGCATTACAAAAGCATAGAAAAGTCAAATTTAAACTACTGCTAAATATATTCATCGAATGGAATTTTTTGTGTCCTCTTGGTGAGCTTGTGTATGTGTTTTATTAGTTAATTTTATTTCTACGTCTTTGGAGAGAGAGAGAACAAACCGGAAGACCAACAGCAATGCTTAGCAATGAAATCTTGTTGACACCAGCTCTCAGATTCACACCCTGATTAAATGTTAGTTTTGGGTATTCTAAACTTCCATAGACAGTTCCTGTCAGAAAAAGAAAAGAATATATTAGGAAATACACACAGCAGATACAACTATAGACACGCTGTTAGATAACCAGTCCTTTCATTTTTCGTTCTCCTTTTGGTCAGGAAGCAAGATCAAGGAAGCATGATGTCTATTGTTTTTGGCATGCTTTATACTAATAGTTTTTAGAATTTTTGGATCCTGTTCTGTTTGTCATTAATTCAAGCAATTTTACTCGCGTGTCTTACTAAACCAAAAAAAAAAAAAAGGTCAATACATTTTGGATAGGAAATATAAAAGGAGTATGGGGAGGTTAAAACATAAAGGTAGTGTTGAAATACATAGGCAAGAATTACAACTTCACCTTCATTTTCTTTACTTGAAAGAAACTACTGAAAATATATAACTATTCTAGTCACTCTTTGAAACTATTCATCATAGAAGTCGACTTAATAAAACCCTTAATGTCCAACAACAAGATGCCCACCTGATAGTTGACCGTTGATGAAAACATGCAAAGCATGACCAGCAGATAGGACGGTAAGGACGGGATAATACCCACTCCTTAAAAATCCTTCATCGCCGTCGATCTTGACACTGGGAACAAAAAGAATGTATAAATAATGAAAATGAGAAAATAACCAGCTGCAAAAACATTTTCTTGGGAAATTAAATGTTCTTGAAAAAGAAACCACATAGAGTCATTCAGCACTCACTCTGTCATGTACCACAAATAATCAGTGACATCTCTGGTGGTATTTATCTGCTCCAACAATCCCACTGTAGTAAATGAAGTGTCATCATAAGATGCCGTTTCTTCATTGTATGACAGCCAAGAGAATTGTGTAACAGGAGTCATCTTCATCTGAGCACTTTGAGCACCCACCTGTACCAAAATTTCAGTTTAATGTTTCAAAGGAGAAATAGTTATAGATATTTACTAAATTACAATTGTTTATCCACATATACAAGGATTATACTAAAAAAAGTGTTGTGTGCTAATGATGAGAATAATGATCAAACCAGACATTGCATATGCTTAAATTAAATATGAGAAATTCAACTTAACCATTAGCTCTTTCTCACCCTTGCTGTGTTATATACAGTGTTTTTACAGTCTGGAAGAATGCTGATAGACCAAGGAGGCAGGTTGTAATGCATATTGCCGAAAGCCACTTTTGCAAAGGAATGTGAGTCGTAATTTGCAAGAAAAGCAGCACAAGCTCCAGATTTTGATTTGAAAACATGGGCCTGTATGGTAACAAATGAAGGGAAGGAGTGAGATTTCAGTTTCAGTACCAGTTTGAGATTGATAGCGAACTGAAGTAAATCTAACCTCTTGATTGTTTCCAAGAGGCATCACAGCAGGATCTCCAGATAGTAAAGCCGGCTCACAAAGCCTTATTGCTCTGTGCAGATCTTTCAAATGGCCCCATTTAGGCTGCCTTAATAGTCCTAGACATAGAAATAGTCAATAATCCATTAGTTTGCCTAGGACCATAAAATCTTCCAGGATTTAACAATTTGGGTCCTGTTTACAGCATGAAACAAGATAATGACAAAGGAATTTAGGTGGGAAAACTCTCATTTGGTTCGAACTGAAATTTATGACTAGCAAAGACAATAAAATTATCCGAAAAATATGATGATAAACAAAATTTCGGCTTTACGAAGTAAGAACCCACCACTAAATTGTTTACTGTATTCATCAAGATTTTTATTGACACGAGTCTAGTGACTTTGTTGAGCAATCAAAATCTTTATACCAGGAAAAAGAAAAGAGGACAGTTGTTGAGGACCAAAACAATTAAACTACAAAGCATTCTATCAACGTTTGGACTACAACCCTGCACAGGCTAGCTTGGCTTGCAAGGTCCTTGGGAGTATCTCCCTTGGGTTGGTAGTTCAACACTCACCGAAGTGAGGCTTGGACTTAAATGATGCTTGTGTTTGTGGGCGATTGCATGCCTTCAAAGTTTGTGCACCATCCCACTCGCAATAGACCCCACCAAAAATATGAAACAAAATAAATAATTACTAAGGTGCCCCCTTAGTTTTTCTGAATTGAAAGCAGCTACCCTATGAAGACGAACACTACTCCAAGGTGATGATGCTGTGAACATACCGAATTCATCGAGAGGAGCATCATAATCATAGCTAGTGGCAATAAAAGGACCACCAGCAGTCCTGCCGAAGTTTGTTCCTCCATGATACTTGAAGCATAAAAACAAAGAAACAAAAAAAGTTCAGCAAAATTCATCCATTGGGATTCAGTTAAAAAATACATCAAACTGTGCACTTACCATATAATAGTTAATGAAAGACCCCCCTTTCTGAAAAAACTTTGCAACTGAAAATGCCAAGTCTTCAGCTGGACGGTAAGGAACTGGACCTCCAAACTCAGTAAACCTACAAAAAGAGAAGGGGATAATTAGCCACGAAATGCCTTGCAACTCTCAGATAAGTAAAAAAACAAAACAAAATAATATGCCAGTACAGATGACAAGGGTGCAAATTTACCAGCCAGTCCAGGCTTCAGTCCAAACCTTAGGTTTATAAGCCTTATTAGGAGAGAAGTAGTCACAGTAGAAACCATTGCAAGTGTTGATCTGTCCACGAAAATTTCACATTATTATTCGGAAGACTAGACATATGATATCAATAGATTATAAGATCGTATGATTTCATTTGAAATTTTCATTTTAGAAAGCAAAAGTAAAGTCAAGCAAGGAGGCTTGGGTTTGATAAAGAATAACTTCTTTTGCATCTATGAGATAGGAAGGAATAAATAAATATTCTTTTAGATACACCACTTACAATGGAAGTTGAAACTTGAAACAGATGTGATTATGATTGACAAGTAGACATTGTTATCGAACCATCATTACAGAACTCAAAGGCGGTGGTGGATAATATATAAAGACAGAAAGGAGTGAGAAAGAGCAAAGCCTAGCCATGTGGGTGTGGGGGATAAAAATTCATTTCATACATGAACACACAAGGTGACAACATACTATTACACAACAACCCCACTAAGGATGAGGGAACATAACATGGACACCATCAAGAATGAGTATATAATAAGAACATGACAAAAAGGCAAAAAGAATTCACAAAAAGCGGGCGACACTTACAATTGGGTCAGGGGCATCATCTTGCTTGCACATGACCCATGGGACTCCGGTTTCGAGATCCACAGCCATTTTAGCTGCCCATTCTGAATAAGCTCGAGCAGGATCACCGAGTTCATACTCCATCGGCCCATATTCATTCTCAATCTATCATATTCATTACACAAAGAAAGCAATAAAAATCTAAACTTGACCAAGTGAACAAATATAAATTCACTACAGCAACAAGGGAAAGAGAAAAATGGACTACTTTTGACTACCTGGGATAGAATTATTGGTCCACCATGAGATTGAAATAACCTTTCTGCTTTCATCATATCTACAATCTTTGTTGTAAATCTTTGCATTGCAGCCTTCATGACAAAATTCAAATAAAACTTAAATATCTAAATCTAATGACATCAATTGAATAGGATTAGAAAATAAAATAAAATAAAAAATGAAAATAGAAGCTTCATGTGCAAGAACAGCAAGCATCTTACCTTGAAAGGACCATTATCTGTTCTGAAACTGATACCTGGAACATACTTGAGCCAAACAGGGAAACCCCTGGATATGAAACAGAAAGAGATTATACAATCAAAAACTTTATACATATAAAATATTTTTTTTCTTTCATTCATAGGAATCATAGTCAATTTTTATTACCCAAAATTCCATTCAGCACAAGCATAGGGGCCAATCCTGAGATGAACATAAAGGCCTGCTTGCTTCACCAGCTTAATAAATTTAACCAGATCATACCTCTCCTCAAAATAGTACTACAAAAATAAATTAAACAATTTTAGAAAAAAATATTATTAAAAGTTAAAAATGTTGAAAAGTATAAAAATGAGATTAGTTTTCATTACCTTGCCAGGTTGAGGTTCATGTCCATTCCAGAAAACATAGGTCTGTATAACATCCAAACCTCCTTCTTTTGCTTTCTGGATAAGATCTGGCCACATCTGCCACAACCCCACAAAACCCACCAAATTAATTCCAAAAGCAAAACATTCTATAGAGAGAGAGACATAATTTAGACAGACCCAAGTAGTGATAAGCTCAGAAGAACATAATATACTACTGAGAGGAATGGAGAGTTTAGAGAGAGAAACAGAGACTCAATTTGCTGAAAATCTTCAAAAACAATGAGAAACCAGAGAGACCCTTTTAGTGATAAGCTCAGAAGAACAAAATATACTACTGAGAACTTAAAGTAACAGAGTTTATAGAGAGAAACAGAGACACCTAAATTGCTGAAAATCTTGAAAAAAAAAAAAAAAAAAAAAAAAAAAAAAAAAGAGAAATCAGAGAGACCCAATTGGTACATTGACATATATATACCTCAGGAGTACTCCGTGGATAGTGAATAGATCCAGAAATGAAGATCCTCCGTTGCCCATTAACAATGATGGCCTTACTGTCATATGATACAGAGGCTGTGCCACAAGAAACCCATGAACACAATAACGCCACCACCATTAACAACACTTTCCACATTACAATCTTCAAACCCATTTCCATAAACCCCCAATGAGTCTCTTGTGATTTCACAAAAGCAATGGCTTTATTCTTTGTTCCTTGCTCTTTATTCTACACTTGCTTTATATGGAGAGAGAGAGAGAGGAGAGAGAGAAGAAAACAGCTGGGTTGTGTTTTTTCTCTCTCACTCACTCACTCACTCACTGAGCTTTTTGGGTTTTAGAGAGAGAAAGGGAAAAATGCAGAGTATTATAGTAGTAAGTGTGTAATTAATAGTGGTAAGTTGTGAAGTTGGAACTAGGAAACATGGGAGCTTTATAGCTGTGCATACAGACATAGAAGTGGATGGCTTGAAAGTGAGAGTGGGACCCAATTTGGACTTCCTTACACTAACATAAGAGTTTCATCCAATGAATTTTGTCCTTATTTCTTTTGTTTATTAGGATGAATTTAAATAAAACTGATTAATTGAATTAAAGCAAAGTGATAGTAAAAAATTAAAGGGCTGTTTGGATGTTGTGAGAAAAGTTAATTTTAAGGCCGTTTTTTTTTTTTTTCTCTCTTCATACACAAAGATTCTCTTCATAATCCCAATACAAAATGGTTTGAGGCTTTGTGACTTTTTATGTTTGTTTTTGTAATGTTCCCTCCAAACATTACCTTAGCGCGTACCAAAATTTAGATGCTATTTTTATCCAATAGAATTGGGTAGTGTAGGTCACGCTAGTCAAAGGCGCGTGAATAGGCATCTTTCTCGATAATACAATAACCCATTTTTTTTTCCTTTTTATTATTTATAGAGTGATTGCCGGAGCTGTTGTTACCGCGTTACTAAAAGCCTGCAAATTGTAATAGGGTAAATAAATAAAATTATTTGTTTTTAAACACCCCCCAATAATAGTAATCTGAGCTAGGAAGAAGGGTCGTAAACTGTTCAGTTCAGTATGGTTGCAAGCTAAATTGGACCCTAATCGATTCCAACGAGTTTTAAAAAAATGAAATCGATAACAACATCAGTAAGGCGTGGAACTGAACTGAACCATGAAAGACCAATTCAGTTCGGATCCAAATCACGATTTTCTTTTAATTATTATTTTCATTATGAAGGAAACAAATTGATAATTATATTTGTTACATGCATTATATTATAATGTACAGTGTGTGTGTGTGTGTATATATATATATATATGCGTTATATTCAATTCGGTCTTAATGAATTTGGAATGGAACTAAAACCATAAACTGAATGTTCTTTATATTGAAACTAGAATCGGGACTGAATTTTAAAAGATCTGAACCGAAGCAACGGTTTAGTTCGATTCGTACTAATTTACCAATTCTAATGATTTTTTGTGCACTCCCACCCTTACTAGGAATTATACTTCTCAATAACGTGTATTATACTCCTCAATGACGTAAGGCGGTGGTATTAGACATGTGTCTGATATGACTTATTTGACACGGTTACAACTATTTAAATTTTGATTATACGTATTATTTCTTTTATTGAACACAAAATGTAGACGTTTGAAGCACTTTTTAGATCACTGGTGGGTAATTTTATAAAGAATGTGATCTCTATCAATACAATTTAAAAATATTATGAGTAGACTATAAAAAATAATATTAAATTTTAGAAAACAAAAATAAAGAAAATTTGACTCTAAGTTCCAAATTTGTGATTTTATTCATAATAATGTGGAAAAAATGTACATATTTTTGGGGGTTAATTTCACTCATCTCCTATGAGGTTTGTCAATATCTTACATAGGCCCACTTCATGTTTCATAATTACACTTACCTCCCCTGAGGTTCTAGTTTATGTAACAGATTCTGCTTATGCCAACAGGAGAAAATTAAGAGAATGTCAGTTTTGCCCTTCTAATGTATGAAATGACATCTTCAACCTTATTGACCAATATACAATTACTTATCTACCCTTGACTTATTAACGCAAATGTACCATAATAACTTATCTCTCACATCACCAAACCTAGAAACAAAATCGATCACACCTAATTCACCACCATTACTGCCACTCCATCACCATATATAGCAGTTCTTTGATTATATTTATTCAATGGTTTCACAACCTTGAGATAACAAATTTTAGCTAACAATGGCCATTAATTTACTCTCCTCAAATGCCCATTTCATTATATAAATCAAACAACTTGATCAAGATTGTGGATGTAGGTTACGCCACGTCAGCTATATATTCAAACCATGTTGACCACTGTGGATGTAGGTTACGTCACGTTAGTTATATATTCAAACCACGCTGACCACAAGTAAGAAAAAAACAATTGTTTCAACACTTGTTCGATACACATGGACTCTGGCCAGCTCAGCACTAACAGCCAGACGATAAGCCCATAGTGCAAACCCACAAAATGTCGATCGATGGCCCAGAACCTTTATCCGACCAAGCCATAAACTGTCGATTGATGGGTTTAGAACCTCTATCCGACCAAGCCATGAACTGTCGATCGATGGGTCCAAAACCTCGATCCGACCAAGTCACAAACTATCGATTGATGGGCCAAAACCTCAAACTGTTGATCGGTTGGCCTAGAACCTCAATCCGACCAAGTTATGAATTGTCGATCGATGGGCCCAGAACCTCGATCTGACTAAGACACAAACTGTCGATTGATGAGCCTAGAACCTCAATTAAAGTTATGGCCCGTCGATCGATGGGCTTAGACCCTCGACATAACGCGCTGAGCGAGAGAACTAACAAAGAGTTATGGTAGGACTCTTCGAGACTTTTGGGAATGCTAAGGGGATTTTGGAATGGAGGATGGAGAATCAACTTTAAGACATACCCAATCCGAGGAGGGAAAGTGAAAGACGAGTTGGAGTAAGCACAGAGACCCTAACAGTCACCCTCTATTTAGGTCATTCAAGGAAGGTACGTATACCTGGCAACAGATCTGAAAAAGTAGGGATTAGGGCATCATAATCCATAAAGGGACATATGCCTTGGCTCACTTTATCCACAGGCCCAACAGATACAATCTGGATGACTTAAGGCAATAAAAAGGTGGCTAGAAAAATAAGATAAGGGTGAAAAAATCAAACTCTGTCAATACTCCAGACTTGTTTCTTCTCTACCATCGTTTTCAGTTCTCAGATTGGGCTAATTTTTCCTCCCTTAATCCACTATTCTGTATTCCTCATATTGTTTTAGTGATATTCCCGGATATATTTTCATCTTTAGTTTGACTCAAAAATTCGGTACATACAAAGATATATGCCCATCTTTCTCTCTCTTTTTATTATCTTTGATCTTTTTCATTTTCTTGGAAAATGGCAAAGAGAAAAGAAAATGTAGTAATATTCCTTTTCATGGCACAAGAGCACAGGATACCCTTATTGGCCTTAGCCCTCCAAATAGAGTAAAGATGTTACAACATAACTTTAATCAACATCCTTATCAACATTAAGAAACTCTAATTTTTTCTCCCTTCAAACACCTCTATTAGCCTTCTCAAAATCCCCTTCAATAGTTCTGACAACGGCCTCCCTTAGGGCACAACCGACATCTTACCTTGCATTGACATCATTACCCTATTCGAAGCCTTACTTTCTCTTAAACTCGTCTTCAGAAAACTCTTACATTTTGCTCTGTTAAATATCACATTGCAGATACCCAATTTGCAAATGACTTTAGCGGTCCAACCAAAGCTGATGTCGACGACGATGCAGAATGGCTTTCCATCGCCATCCTCCGCCATTGGTGTCAAATACACCTTCAGTTGCCGTGTGGTTCAATTTACTTATATATATGTGTGTGTGTGTGTGTGTGTGTGTGTGTAATATGAATATATGTATATGTGTGTATATGCAAAGAGAAATAGAGAGAGTAACAAGAATTGGGTTGCGTCACCCATTTTGAAATATCGAAAAAAATCCGTTAGGGTGTTTTAGTCTTTGTGTTTAAGCTTCATTTTTTTATAAATATCAATATATACTTTACGAGCAAAACAGTAAAATCACACACTACTGTTACCAAATTGGACTATTGTCACTGACCAAGGAGGCAAGTGGAATTATGAAACATGAAGGGGGTCTATGTGAGGTATTGACAAACCTCAGAGGAGGTAAGTGAAATTAACCCACTTATTTTTTATATCAGAATATATTAAATTATTAATTTTTTGACATATTGTTGTTGTGTTTGTATTTTTTTCTTTTTAGATTTGACATTTCATATCATCATGTCTATTTTCATACTTCTTAGATTTGAAGTCTCGCCCAATGCATCCGCACATACCTTTGGTTAACTCTTCTGACCTTTTTCTTTGGTCCAAATCATGGTTCACATTGGCAATATTGGTCACGATGTAACAGACTCGAGTTAATATCAGTGTAAATCGAATGGTTCATGGAGGTGTGTAATAGTATCGGCCCTTTGAAAGAGGGTTACGAACCGACCGATACGTCACGTATCGGCCGATATGGCAAACCATGGTCCAAATATCATGGTTCAAGAAACAAATAGTACATAATCACAGTCTAAACAAATATGCATCCATTTAAGCACAAACCTATTGATACCTCAATGGGGGCAATTGCCCCACTGATTTTTTTTTTTTTTTTTCGTTCTATTAGTATTATATCCTACTATTTTTTACATTTTGATATATATATTTTTATAAAATTTCACTATTGTCCCTACTGAAATTATTAAAAAAAAATCACTATTGCCCCCTCTACCTAATTTTCTGAGTCTGTCCCTCATCTGCACATACATTTTTACAATTATCTACTATCACTTTATGAGGGTTATAAGTTACCGGTACTTCCATGCATTCCAAGGTAAAAATGTCAAAGGCGTCTCCAGAACGGGTGCCCTGCAACAATGAAGGACCACCCCTAGTTCTCTAGATGCCTTCGCCTTAGAACAAATTATTAAATATTAACCCTCCGCCTCCCTTTGTGAGGATTCAAGCTTCTTTGAAGAGCTAGTCATGAATGTGTGAGAGAGTTTCTTGTGAAGGTAAAAAACAAAAAAACAAAAACACAAATGTATAAACCACAAAATGGTGTTTTAAATGAAATATAGTATCTAAATTATCAATAACTTTTTTATAAAAAAAAAAAAAAAATAGAAAAGAAAAAAGAAAATATAATTTTTTATTAAAATGCTGTCTAGATTTAGGAGAAAGCTCATATTCCGAACATGCTTTAATTACGGCAGTGCTAGATTAACAAAATATCCTTCTAACGGTTGGATTCAAAAGTTGAGAGCGCAAAGTAATATT